AAAAATATTTTACCTCCAAGTAACAATGTTGGCTGCATGATTCTGGGAGCTGTTGCCCAAAAACTCTTTCCCATAATTATTATTATATAGAAAACATACAATTATATTGGCACTTACTCAGATGAAAGCATCACTGTTATCAATATGGAGTGCTTTCCAGCTGTGTATATTTTGGACTCAGGATTAATCCCAAATGTACAGCTTCGATGGGAGACAGTATTGATTTAAGGGCTGAAAGTGTAAAAATACAAGAGCAACTTTTAAAAGCTAGGCAGATGGCCAAAATGTTCTTTTTTGAAGTAGTCCTGACCTTTCATTCTCTATAGTTCACTTCAGGTTGTAAAAGTCCTTGTCATCGGAGAAACAAATCTATGTGTGAGGTTGTGTCCCTGAAATATTTAAGTCAAAGCATGATACCAAACATTGCTAAAGGCAGTTAAGCCAGAATGGATGCAAGTATCTTGAAATCTGGATTTCACTAGCTTTTGGAACTGGGTTGTTGCTTTGGCCTTCTAGATATTTTGAACTTCCATGTCCCTCTGCCATAATTACCACAGTCTACTAAAAAGGTTATCTTAGGCCAAAACAGCTAGAGTGTCAAGGGTTTCCCCACCCACATTGTGAAAGATGGAAGTTTATCACCCCACTTTCAGAATCCTGCCATTACTTTATTTCCAACTATCTGCCTGACCATTTTCCTTCCCGTTGCCTGCTCAAGTGTTCTTTCTGCTAGGATGGTTCCCTGTTCTGCCCATTTGCCACTTTTACCCTGGAATCACAGATATTAATGGTATTAGCAGTTCTTGCAACAGAATAATACATACAGTAGACACAGTTAAAATGACATTAGTTAAGGATGCAAAGAATAACACAAAACGTTAAGGGGATTGCATTTCACCAACAATTAGTATGTTTCCTCCTCCAACAACAAAATATTATCATTTGCAAATTAACAATGTTTACTTCCTGATGACCAATTACAACACCAAGCACACAATGGGACACATTACATGAAGATGAATGTATATGTTAGGAGACAGATTAATTTTGCCACTAAGGGGATTACGTTTGGCATTATTGACTTGTTTAACCCACAGAATGTCTGTGAAACCCCAAGGACAAAAACCATTCTTCTTCTGAACATATAACAGTTAAATTACCACTGCTACTCTCAGGGATATAAAGCTAAATGGTGCTTCTGCTTAACTCCAGTTGGAAGCTTAGCTCTTCCTTTAATCTGGATCAAAGATTGGAAGAACAATGGTACAAAAGAGTTTCATCTTGTGTTAATTTGATGGATCCTAAACTTTATTCAATTTACATTACCATTAGTGGAGAAATTTTCTAATGTATTAGTCAAGTTAATTATTAATTTTAAGAAAAAAAATCTACAGGGAAATGGCATATAAACTAATATTACCTTTCACCATTACTCCTTAATGCCACAACTTGTTGCTTTTGGTTGTGGAACAACCACTCTCAGTCTGGTTGTTTCCAATTGCTTTGAACTACAAATCCCACATTTTACTTGTTCTCTAGGAACAGTGGGATTTCTAAATCAAAACATCTGGATGCTGCGAGGCTGGGGAAGATTATTGTAAAACATGGCATGCAACATATCAGCAGTTATGTTTTATCACTAATCTGCTTCTCTCTTCTTTCTTTCCATATCCTACACTTCAACAGACATGCTATTCTCTCACCCATTAAACAATGTGGACTATACTGTCTGGATTTCAGATTATTATTAAGGAATTTAAGAGCTAATGAGACCCATTGAAATGTATGAGATTTAGCAGGGATTTAGCTACAGGGGGCAGAACAAGGGCACTGCCTACACCAAATAATTCTATTTTACCAAGTCAAATTTTCCTTGAGTTCCCAAATTATGCATTGAAGTGGTTTACATTAACAACGGTTTGCATTAGTATTCTAGTATCTGTGGCATTCACATTCTCCCTGTAATTTAGCCTGCTCCTTTCTTGAATACATTGTGGTTGGAATCCTCTTTGGGGCTCACACCTTTGTAAGTGGACTTAGAATTCCACTGTTGCCTAACATCCATATTCAGTAGAGTGCTGCTGTTATGGTCCTATGTAGCAGAGCCAGAAAACTGCCTCCCCAAGTGCTTTTTTGGAGGTCCTATGCATGGCTCTTCTCCCATATGGTGCAACTGCAGGCTCTCTTTGAAAAGCGATCTGCTGTATGTACTGCAACTTTGAGCCACCTAATTGAGGAGGCACTTTTCATTAGTGCCTTCTACATCCACAGGAAGTGCAAACCATACTATTACATGCAGATTTTTCCACAGTTAAAATGAGGAGATTAATCAAAGAAATGAAAAAATAACTACACCACATAGACAAGATGCAATTCAATCATCAGTTCAAATGACTTCAAAGATGCTGAACACATTCTGTAAGGTACACACATAATTCAGTGCAAAGACGCTCAAAAGCACAGTGTCTGTCTGCAAAATACTTAGGTCCTAGCCAGGGTAGTATAGTAGTTTGAGCACTGGACTGAAAATTTGCAAATTCCCACTTGGCCATAGAAATCCACATGCAGATAAGCTCACAGGAAAACAAATACAGTAGAGTCTTGCTTATCCAACCTTCGTTCGTCCAGTGTTCTGTATTATCCAACACAGTCTGCCTCCTACCCGGTTACACAGCTGTTTCAATACATTGCGATGTTTTAGTGCTAAATTCGTAAATAAAGTAATTATTGCATAATATTACCGTGTATTGAACTGTTTTTCTATCCATTTGTTGTAAAACATGATGGTTTGGTGCTTAATTTGTAAAATCATAATGTAATTTTACGTTTAATAGACTTTTCCTTAATCCTCCCTTATTATCCAACATTTTCGCTTATCCAATGTTTGCCGTTTAAGTTGGATAAGCAAGACTCTTACTGTTCAAATTCTCTTTGAATGAATCTATCCAAGAAAACTCCTGACAGGCTCACCTTTGGCTCACCATAAGTCTGAAATCGTGATTAAAAGAAAAGATGGCAAATCTACTTTATAACCACAAATGTCATTTCAACACACAGGAATTCAGACTTCAAAGTTTTCTGTTTTGAACAACAAACCTGTTTTTTCAATTTCTCCAGCAAACTTAAAAAAATCTTAATGCTCTTTCCAACGAATCTGTAAAGAAATACAAGCAGTCCCCAAGTTACAAACCTTACACATGAATCCTAGTTACAAACAGGGGTGCGACAACAGGAAGTGACAGGAGATCTATCCCTAGGAAGGGAAATTCACTCTGGGAAGTGTTTTCATGAGGAAAAGGCATCTCCACTGAAGCTTTATCACCAATCCTTGTTTCCATGGCAACCTCAAATTTTCAAAGTCCAGTTGTCACAGGGACAGAAAGTGAGGTGAAATCTTCTGAACAAGAGCAGAGACAGCAAAACAAATATTACAGGGATCTTATCTTTTCTCTATTCTATGAAAAATGGGCTGATGTTACACTTAAAAATGTACCTGTTCTGATTTGCATACAAATGCAACAAGAACAAACCTACAGAACCTATCAAGGTGGCCAATTAAAACATTCACTCCTAGCTCCAACAGACAAGAGTTCTTTCTCCCACCCTGGACATTCCACAGATATATAAACTCATTTTTTGTAGTTTCCAACAGATCTCAAAATCTTTGAGGATGCCTGCTTTAGACATGGGCAAAATGTCAGGAGAGAATGATTCTGGAACATGGCCATACAGCCGGAAAAACTTACAACCCAGGACCTATTTTGTTTGTAAACCAGGCACTGCCTATATGCACATTTTTAGAATATTTTTGGCAATAAATGGTCCAAATGAAATAACTGTCCATACTGTAGTATCCTCCTGCTTGTATTCATTAGCATCTGACAGTCAGAAGTACCTTTGGACTTGAGAGTTAGCATTCAGCCATTATAAGCAACAGCCATTGGCAACACTATTCGCCATGATTTTATCTAGTCTCTTCTTAAAGATGTGCAAGCTGATGGTCATCTCTACATCCTGTGGTAGCATATGCCACAGTTTACCTATGGGTCTTGTTAATATATAGTTATTTTATTCCATGTTGCATCTCCCCCAATTCCAAAGATATTTCACATTCTGATTTCTAATCTAAATTCTCAAAAGAGTAACTTCTCAATATTATATTAGATATTTTGATTTATAACCAGGTTGGTTTGAAAACAATTCCAACAGCTTTTAATTGCATCTACTTCCTGAATTTTAAGCAGGATTCAAAAACAAAAGTATGGGTTTTTTTTTTGCAATGAGCTTGAATTCCTCTGAATTTTTAGACTTTAGCAGGCTATGAAGATGTGAAGGTTATTGTTTTGATACTAAAACCTCTTATCCTCTCAAAGGTTGTGTGACAGGCAAAAATCTATCAAAGGATAATAATAGTAAAATGAATAAGAATCAAGAAAAAGTTCTCTTCCTGCTGAGTACTGCGGCAAGATTGGTACTCGCCAGAAAATAGAAACAAAAAGAAATCCCGACACAAGAAGAATGGATAATAAAAGCCTTCGACATCATACAAATGGATAGTTTATCGCAAAGTGTTAATGGAGTATCCAGAAGAACGGACTGGACAGGTTTTAAGGACTATATAAAGAAAAGAAAACTACCGATGGTAATAGATTTGACTTGTATCTAAGAAAGGAAAAGGGGGGAAGTTACCAGCAAATATGAAAAATAAGGGAATGTATACTGTCATATACTAGAAGGAGAAAATATAAAACGTCTTGGAAGACTTTGGGAAGTCACTTTGGGTGGTGGGTTTATCACTAGGAAGTGTGTTTTTTTTTTTTGTAGTTTTTGTTTGGCACGCGTATATAGGTATGTGTGTATGCACGTATGTTTATATGTTTATATGTGGGTATGTACTCAATTATAAAACTCAATAAAAACAATTATAAAAAAAAAAAAGATAATAATAGTTTGTGGAAAACTCTTCCTAGTTATGATGTCAATGGCTAAAATCTGGAAAATTTACTTTTCTTAGCCGGCTGTGGGATTCTGGAAATATATACTATCATTAGGAATAATGGCCGAGACCCAGTTCCAAACATGTTGAGCATCTATGCCCTGCTTCTGTGTTTGAGCATTACTTGCCAATGGGAGTAGGCTAATCACGTTATCCTTCAATGCCTCACTTGGCAATAGATATCTAGTACTCTGGAAGGATGGATGGTTTTTAAGATGGGCTTCAGGACCATTCGTGATCATGGTGATAGGACTATGGTTGCAAATGAGAACATAAAGCAGCTACAATGATCTAAGGACTTCATCCGGGACTGTCCAATCTGGAAGTAGCCCATCTCCTGGGGTTTTCTCCAAGGGTTTAGGGCTCTTGTTTCCATGCACTTTGGAAAAGGAGTCCCATGGAAGTCCCACGGAGGCCATCACATAATGTAAGGGCACTTCTGGTGGGACTCTGTGGGGCTACGTTTCCACAGCACATGGAAGCAAAGCCCTAAATCTATCTTCAGGAGTTGGATAACATCCGACTCCAATTGGAGGAATGTGGTGGAAAGATAGACATCACTTAGAAAGGATGTGGGATGGCTGGCCATCCCACAAGATAGGGAAAGACAAGAGGAAAGAGGATAAATCTGTGCCCTCCAGTTTTCCCCGCTTTTCCTCCACTTGTGGGATGAGGATCCAAGTCCAATTAAAACTAACAGGACACCAGGCAATGTTTGCAAGCTCAGCCTCTATCCTTAGGAATGTTCAGCTTGCTCAGTGAGAGGCATCACTCAAGGCAGAGGGGCTATACTAGAAAAAAGTTGGCACATCTTTATTGACACCTTTTCTTGTCTGTTAAGCCTTAATTCAAAAGTAGTTTTTAAGTCATCACATAACAGTTATTAGAATATTACTGCAAGAGACTAACCTCAACTGCCTCAGTCCCAGAAAATTAGTAGAACATGCTCAGCAAGATGAATGGGAGATAAATAATGGTCCAGGTTATTATGCAATTTAACTAGAAAATGCTCTGTTTGACATCAGCAGGTCTAAACAAAACAAATGTCCATGCAATAATCTAAACAGAAACTAATTCTGATAACCATACCTATCCTTGCAACATTCTTTCTGTAGATGGTTGGAGTGTGTGGTCTCATGCAGGTTAGATGCTGCTAACTTTGAACATGCTGATTATGGTCACTTAAGGGCAGAGACCTCATTTCTGCCTGTCTCAGATGTCAAACAAGATGGGATTGTAGTCCAGCAATAGGTTCAAATATGTTTCTCCCACTTGAGGCTCTCTGGAGGTTGTATAACAGTCCCATCTTTCCCAAACTCTAGCCATACCTGCTAGGGTGATGTGTACTGGAATCAAACAGGTTCCACCCTCATAATGTGGAAAGATCTCAAATATGTAGACAAACATTAGATAAAAGTGGCAGAAGTCAAATCCTTCTCTCTTCCACAATAGGATGATCAGTCCCGTGCCCACCTTATTATCGACTGTGAGAGGATTTCGTTCTTTCCACCTATAAGCCCCCTTTAATTCTAAAAGTTTGATTTTATTCCCAGTTGTTCTGGGACTGCAGCACATCTGGATTTACACACACAAAGTTAACATTCTCCCATCAAGTTTTGGCTTCAGCTTCAATATAACCCCCTTCTCATTTGCTTCCCTCCCCAAACCAAAAACTAATTCCTGATTTGGGCACAGGCAGCAAAATGTGAACATGAGCAATTCTTCTGGAAGTCTAGCACAGAACACAGATCTAGAAAAACAGGCAAATCAAGCTTCTCACTTGGGCCAAAGAGGCAAGGTGAGTCTCTCTCAAAGGCAGTGGATTTGGGTAAAAGCAACAATTGCAGCAGTAGCTAAAGGGCACAATTTTTTAAAAAATGCTAAGGATCTGTGGCTTGCAAGATGAGTCTCCAAGGGCTCTTGTGTTATTCAGGAAACACACAAGCTTTTGCTTCTTCAGCTGATGCATTACAACGAGCTGCATGGGCATCTTAAAGGAGTCTTACTAGGCAGTTGCCATTCCACTCTTCCTGCCAGAGCTCAGAAACGTTTTTGACTACAATGCCCACAACCCACTAATAAGGATTCCAAAACTTCTAGTCCAAAGAAGTACTTTTCCCAGCTCTGTTTCTTACCCACCCTTCAAAATATTTGTCAAAAAGTTCATAGCTACCATAGCCATCACATTTCATTTCTTTTCCTCTTGCTGTAATGTGTAGAAGATATAACACTACAGAACTTTGCTGCTATGAAAAATAGTGTAAAAGGAAAAGCCAGATAAAATGGTGGAGAAAATGAGGAAGAGAGAAAATGGGTCACATGAGATCTGAGAGGGTTTGTCAGAAGATGTAAGAAGAGCCAGGCAAGGAGAGTCTTTGTGGCCCTGGAACAGAAGGATGCAAGGCGATACAGGGAACACACTGTGGAAGAGCTGGAGCAAAGGATGGGAGTAACACTGCCATCCAAGGAACTTCTCCATCATTCTTTCTCTCTGCCAAAGAGTTGATCTGTCAACCCAACAGCATGGCTAAGAGATGTGCAGCATCGAAAGGCATTGTGCATCCACCTGCCTGGTTCCAGATCCTTGCTCAAGACCAGCTGACACCAGGACTGATATGACAGCTCAGAATTATCCAGGCCTTGGGATATGAGGCTTCCCCTGGCACTCTCAACAGTCAAATGTTTCCTCTTTGTCTGTCATGGCTCTGACAGGAGGTGGGGTCAATGGTACTGCATTTGGTTGTCCAGCACAGGCCTGGTCTTGTATTTATCCTCTGTGTTTTGCAGCTCTGTTTCAAAACTCTGCAGGCCACCCTCCAGATTCTCTGCTTGCTCCAGACGGCCGCCCATAGTGCCATAGGACTGGTGAGCTGGAGAGGCTGCTGGCGTGAGGCTGAGTTCGGGCTCTTGGAGAACTGTAGCTACAAACATCTGAGACACAGAGAACAAGGAGATTACCTTCTGAGGCTCTTTATTTCCATCATCTTTACTGATAAACTAGGGATCTCCTTTACTGATATGCCAGGCCATAAGTCATATGGAACTTGGATATATAACTTGGCTTGAGAAGTCCTGTAGCTTTAATGCTTAGCAGATTCTGGAAGGCACACCATAAACCAGTGGTATCAAACATATGGCCATCCACGTGTTTTGGACTTCAGCTCCCAGAAATCATGGCCATTGGACAAGCTAGCTAGGGCTTCCGGGAGCTGGAGGGCCAAAAGTTTGATACCTCTGCCATATCAGGTAGAGTTATCTCTGCTCTCACCCTCGACAGTTTGGTGATTACTGAGGCTACAGGAGCATTGGTTTGAATGCCAGCTCTCACATATACACCTGAGAGCTTTAAGCAAGGATGGATTATCAATGGTGTAATAGGAGCAAATGATTCAGGATCATCAATAGGTAGGGGCCAATTGAAGGGTTTTGCAACATACATAGACATAAGTGTCCAACCACTTCTACGTCAATTTCAGTGGACTTTGGAAGCTTACAGCGGGCCTTAACAACAATTGCTCCCTGTGCACAGAGTACTCAAATTTGCCCACCCTTTAAATTTATTTATTTACAGCATTTATATGCTGCCCTTCTCACCCCGAAGGGGACTCAAAGTGGCTTACAAGATATATATACACACAATATATTATATTATTAGCATAATACAATATCAGTATTATATATTACTATATTGTACTACACTATTATATTGTAATATTATTAGTAATATTACACGTAATATAAAATATATAATTATAATGTTGTATTATTATTAGTAGTATTAAATTGTATTACATTATAATATTATAAATATTATATGTATATACACAGGAGACAAGATGGAACTGTCTTCTGCCCCCCTCTCTCTTCACTTTGGCCTGGAGCAGCAGCTGGTGCCGGGGGTGGGGAGCAAATGGTGACATAGGCAGGACATTAGGACACTATGGTCAGGACTCTTGTAAGGCAAATACAGAAGATACTTACATTTGAATTTGGTGTTGAAGAGATGCTGCTCCTTTCTGTATCAATGTAAGCTCCCTCAGACTGTTCAGACATTTCCTTGTAGGTGAACACGTTTATAGAATAGGATGAAGAAAAAAAAATCCAAATGAATGTCCTATCCAAAATTCCCTCAAATCAAGGTTCCTTTAAAGCAGGGATTGACTGCCTGCCTGGAATCTTGTTAGTGACATATGCGCGTGTGCAAGTGGCTTATATACATGCATGTTTCTTTAGGAATGGAGGGCTTAATGTTATTCTACAAACATTTGCACAATATCCAACCTCCTTAGAGATACAAGGGAAATGGGTCTTGCTTATTATTGAGGAGGTGAGGAAGGGTGGGAGGCAGTTCAAATGATATACATCCCAGAGTATTCCATTCCTCCTCCAAACACAGATGAGTTAATTCATCAATGTCTGAATTAACTCCTTACTTTTTCCCCTCTTTGCTGGTAAACAGTAGCTTTGTGTGTGTGGTGTGAATGGTGTAGATAATAGATCTTTGCACCCAGTCTCCCCAACAACGGACATGGGATGGTCACAGAATTGTGCAAGTGGAGCATTATGCTCACCACTTGATGTAAGATCTCCACTACTGTGTTTATTTAGATACTGCTGGATTAAAACTTGCATCATCCCTGATCTGGCCACACTGGTGGGGCAACATGTGGAAAGCCACAGGTTCCACGGCTGTTTTCTAGAGAGCCTTTGATTTAGGATTAAATTTGGAAGTCAACAAATAATGAGTTCAAGGCCCATTCTGGTCGGCTAACTCCATGACACACTGAACATTTATTGTGTGGATCTGTAGATTCCAAAAAGTGAAGTGAGATTAATTGATTGTGAATTTTTAAAAAATCATCCACATAAAAGGAGGACCAGCTGTAACAAAAATATGTAAGAATTGCTAATATTTTAAATGGTAACCACAACTTTTTGTAAATGAACTGAGATTCTGAAGTTTTTTGTAATTCTTTTTGGGCCTATTAGAATTCAGCACATACATATATAACTTTTCTTTTCTTTGATGGCTTTAGTTATTGAATCTGAAAGTGTAAGAATTTGAACTCTTGTGGAAGTATGACTTCTTTCCCCTCTTTTTGTGCATTATTTTGCATTTCTGATAAGATGGAATGAGCCTACATATTTCCATATGCCTTCTCTACAAATGATCTAGTCCAAGGACCTTCTGCCTTCATGCAGCAAAAGCACAATCAAAGCATCCCCAACAGATGGCCATCCAGCCTCAATAATAATAATAATAATAATAATAATAATAATAATAATAATGATAATGAGTTGGAAGAGACCACATGGGACATCTAGTCCAACCACCTTCTGCCTTCATACAGCAAAAGGACAATCAAAGAACCCCTGACAGATGGCCATCTAGCCTCAATATTAGTGATAATAATAATAGAGTTGGAAGAGACCCCCCCATGGGCCATCTAGTCCAACTCTCATCTGCCTTCATGAAGCAAAAGCAAGGCACCCCAAACAGATGGCCATCCAGCCTCAACAACAATAATATTAGTGATAAGGAAAACAATGGACACACCTCCCACTTCCAGGTGCAATTTCAAAAGCCACCATATGTGGGGCAAGCAGAAAGGAGCATGTTTCTCACGCCAGTGCCACTCAAGGATCCAAAGAAACCTGGAAGTGTTGGAACTTGGTGGCAGACTGTAGACATTGGAGTTGAAAGGATAGGCCCCCCATCTGAAATCTTGCGGCAGCCTCTTGCAGAATTCTGGAACTTGTAATTTAGTGAGGCTCAGAACCCCTGAAAGGCCCCTCCTTAAACTACAAGCCCCGGAATTCTGCAGGAGCCTGCCAAAAGATTTCAGATGGGGTGCTTACTCTAGCTCTAGTCACATGCTGTTTTGAGGGGACTTCATTTTCCAGAATTCCTCGCTGTTGGCCACATCAGCCAGGGGTTCTGGAAGTCCAAAATACCTGGTTGGCAACTCAAGGCTGGGAACTAGTAGAGGCGACCACCGCGAGGAGGTGGGCTTCAACTGGGCGACAAGAGGGAAGCTCTTTTCCCTGTCCTTTCTTCGGACTTCCATGAAAGGAAGGGGGCGAGTCAGAGGATGGGAAAGGAAGGGGGTGCTGAGGAAGGATGGGAAGGAGGTGTGAGGTGTTTTGGACTATAGGCTGCTAAGAATTGTGGGAGTTGAAGTCCAAAACACCTGGAGAGCCCAGGTTTGCTCATGCTTTTGCTAAGGGGTCAGGAGCCCAGTTTAAGATGCAGCAGTGTCGAAAGCCGAGGGGAGCTTTTTCTGCCCCCCAAAGGGCTGAAAAATTTGGCTTATATTCATGTATATATGGTTTTTTGCAGCTTTTGGATTCTTAGTGTGCACCTCAAGTGGAAGCCACTTTCATGTAAACAAACAGGCATGATGCCACAAAGAGCACAATAGTCATGGGACATGTTCTGGCCTTTCCTAACCTGGTAACTGGAAGGCTTCCTTGGATGTAGCTTCCGTAGACACAAGCCGAAGAAGGAACAAAAGATGCAGCAGAGAAGGACTACACAGGTGAAGATGGTGATGGGATGTCTGTAGCCTAAAACATTGAAGAACAGAGAAACAATATCACAAAACTAGTCTTGTTTTGCTTTCCATGGCATTCACATTTTTTATAAGTGTAAGTTTGCTTGGACCTGTTTCTGCATCAGTTTGTACCATTAAAAAAAGCAATTCATAAACCCCAAAACTTTCCTGTGTAAATTTTTTCTAATACACACATTTCTAGCAAGGCATTTGGAGGTAAACAGTTCATACAGAAAGGTTTTAAAGGGGCTTCTGTGCTGCATTTTATCTTTAGTGTTAAGTTTTGAAAATGATTTGATTCTAAAAACTGATTCAATTTTTAAAATGATAGCTAATGATTTTTTAAATTATCAGCTTCTCAGTTACAGATTGTTTTAACCTTGTTGTAAGCCACTTTGAGTCCCATCTCAGGATAAAGTGGGATATGGTGGAATTAATCAATTAAACAAATTGAGGGCTGAAAAAATAGACTTGTGGGCCATATTGGTCTGAGGGCCCAACTCTGCTTACTCTATATTAAATAAAGGGCCTCTGGCATATATGGAGAGTTCTTAAGGACTACTTATCACCACCCTCAAATAAGCCTTATGACCATTTTCCAACTCAACAAATCCCTGCACCAGTAGAAATGTACCTCACGTTTATATAAACATGGTTTCTGTGTTTTCACAGAACAGCAAGGTCACATGTCAGGTTTCTTTTCCTTCTGCACCCTTCCGTTCTGGGTCAGTCCTTTAACAGAGTAAAATCTGCAAAGGGTCATTTGAGCTTCCCAACTTCCTATTTTTGAAACATGCAATTATCTTATCTCATTTGTTAGACAATCTATGTGCCGGAAAGGACCAAAAGCACACAAGTCTAGAAATCTACTTTAGAAAATGGGTTCCAGAAGTACAAACCCTCGTGTTATCTTTTTATTTCTTCCAATACCTGTACTGGCTTCTGCTCGTTTGTCACCCACTGGCATTATCCTCAGGGGACAAAAAACACAAACAGAGAGCCATGGAGCCCCAGAGCTCTGTATCCTGCATTTTCAGATGAGGATAGAAAACTAAAGTTTGGGCCGAAGAGATTTTTCTCACAGGATTGTGCTGCCCAGCTTTGCCTCATATAAAATAACAATCTTAAGTTGGAATGAACCACAAGGGCCTGAAAGATGCCCATCCAATCACTGGCTAAAGACCTCCAAAGATGGAGAGGCCACTGTTAGAAAAGCTCTTCCTAACATTTAGGTGGAACAAAAAAGCTGTAGGCTTAAGGGAACTACATTGTTCCAAGGCAGGCTCAATGACAGCCACATACTTACCTAACCGGAGGATGGAGAAGAAGAGCAGAGAGAACATACAGAGCATGGGAGCCATCACCATCTGGCTGACGGCTGCTAAATGGATGTGCTGGTTCAGCTTGGTGGGCAGGTATACATAGTAAATGTTGTAGCGGTCAACCATGTGCTTGAGCATCATGTATAGCAAACCTGTGCGCGCAAAGAAAAAGGGACTTGAGACAAGGAGAACAAGCATTTAGAACAGACAACGGGGTAGAGAGGACGGTACAGAGATAATGATAATGAAGACCAGAAGGATTTTGTAGGAGGAGAATACTGCTCAGAGGCAGAGCACATGTTTAACATGGAAGTTTATAAACCTGGAATGCAAGTAATTTAAGTAATTAATAACATCACATTTTGCTTATGATTAAGGAAAACAAGTATCACCATTCGCTATCGGTTGAATCTATAATCTAAAGCAGGAGCTGATTGCCAATTACTAATAAGTCTCCCGAGTACTCTTTGTTACACTATTAGCATTTACAGGTTATTCATGGAGCACTTGCGGCTTTTTGCTGCAAAGAGAAATTTAGCAACCTGTTCCATTACCCTTTTGTCAAGATCAGACAGTAAATAAGTGCAGTACCAACTTAGGTTTTTCCTGGCCACTTGGTGAGGAGAGGGGATATTAACCTTAGTCTATCATCCTTGTAAATTGTGCAAATAAAAAGTACATGCATCATTATATTAAGACACCACCATCCTGGAGACAAACCAGTTACCGCATGCAGCAAATTACCAGTGCTGAACAATATGAGATTAAATGTGTAATCAAATTGCATTTCTGAATTCAGAAAGTGTGTCAATTCCTTTTGATTTGGGTCAGGGATTACAGGGCAAGGGGTTTTAAAATCTTTTCCTTTGCAATATTTTCCTGATAAAAATGCTTCATTTTCCCTAAAAGCTGCTATTTGCACCCAAGGAAGGAAGGAAGCAAAATTTTCTTAGAGGGATAAAATATGAGCAAAATTGCAACTGGAGGGAATGAGGGAGAGTTTAATCCCCAATCCAGATTAGGACATTGATTGCTACTTCTCCCTTGCTTTCCTTGCTTCCTTTGTCCCTTCCATTTATAGATACACATTTCCTGCTATCCCTTTCTCACAGGAAAAAGATCTTTTAATGAATTGCAGTCTTGAGTGGTTTCCTGCTATCATCACCCCATTTAATCTCAGTTCTATTGCCCAGGGAACAATCACCACTGGAAGTAGCAATTTATGGAACAAGGACTGAGTTCCTTCGGGGGGGAAAAGGGCGGGTTAAAAATAATGATGATGATGATGATTATTATAGTTGGTCTGTGTTCTCTCTCACCATTACAATAAGTGAGATAAGGAGCACCTGGTGGTGCAATGGGTTAAACCCTTGTGCCGGCAGGACCGCTGATCGATAAGTCAGCAGTTCAAATCTAGGGAGAGTGGATTGAGCTCCCTCTGTCAACTCCAGCTCCCCATGCAGGGACATGAGAGAAGCCTCCCACAAGGATGGCAAAACATCAAATATCTGGGCGTCCCCTGGGCAATGTCCTTGTAGATGGCAATTTCTCTCACACCAGAAGCAACTTGATGTTTCTCAAGTCGCACCTGACACACACAAAAAAGTGAGATGATGGATAAAGTAAAGTTTTGGTCTTCCTCAAGAGTATCTATGCTTAGAAGTAATACAGTTTGAAACCACTTTAACTGCTATGGTTGAATCCTATGGAATACTGGGAACTGTAGCCTGGTGAGACACCAGCACTGTTTGGAAGAAAATGTTGAAGACTTTGTAATGCTATAGGTCCCATGATTACACAGCACTGAGCCATGGCAGTTAAAGTGATTCTAAACTGTATTGTAAACTGTAGATTCACCTCTAGTGGCTAAGCTGGTGTGGAACTCAATAAGTACAAAACAAGCTCTTCCCCTCAATTTCAACTGCTACTTCAGTAAGATCTGACTTCTACTCACAGTCTTTAAGTTCCACATGACCACTACCCTTTTTGGAAAGTATGAGGGAAAATCATGTTTTTGTTTTCCTGTTTATATTGTGTATAGTCGAGTATAAGCCGACCCAAATATAAACCGAGGCACCTAATTTTACCACACAAAACTGGGAAAACGTATTGACTCGAGTATAAGCCAAGGGTGGGAAATGAAGCAGCTACTGGTAAATTTCAAAATAAAAATAGATACCAATAAAATTACATTAACTGAGGCATCAATAGGTAAATATTTTTGAATATTTACATTAATCTGTAATTTAAGATAAGACTGTCCAACTCTGAAGAAAGTTAGAATAAGGTTTTAATCAATGTAAATGTAGAGAATAAAATAATAATAATAGAGAATAAAATAATAAATAAAATAAAATAATAAATGTAATAAAATAATAACAATAGAGTAAAACAATGGAAATGTAATAACAGTAATAAATAGAGTAAAATAATAGATGTAATAATAATAATAACAGAATAATAATAATAACAACAACAACACTTTATTTGTACCCCGCTACCATCTCCCCAAGGGACTCGGTGCGGCTTACATGAGGCCGAGCCCAAATACAAAAATACAGACAATAAACAACAGTACAAGCAATTAAAAATAAAAAACATAGGCAATAAAAATATACAACATTATCAATAAGACAACACACAATTAAAAACAGTGGGAAGGCCAAATGTACAGTTAAAATTGGAAATAATGATGGGACATAGACGAAAAGGAGATGGTGGTGTTTGCGGAAGGTCATACGAGCAGACCTAAAGAAATGTAAAGTGCTTTGGAGGACAAAGTGCTATGGGATCATTATTCCAGGAAGGCACACTGGAACAGCCATGTCTTCAAGCTCCTCCTGAAGACTGCCAAAGTTGGGGTCTCTCTCGTCCCCACCAATCACGCCTGTGATGCTGGTGGGATCGAGAGCAGGGCCTCTCCGGAGGGATTGTGTGGTTTCGTATATGGAGATGCGGTCATGCAGACAGAATAAAATAATACATGACTTTAACTCGAGTATAAGCCAAGGGGAGCCTTTTCAGCCTAAAAAAAGGGCTGAAAAACTCAGCTTATACTCAAGTATATATGGCAATCTGTTTTTGTCTTTTGCATATGTATTGTAAAATTTGTATTGTATGAAAAAAATGCATTTTAAAAACGTGATAGAAAACTGTTATGGCAGTTCTAGGGGCTGACACACTTTTTCTCCTCCTTTCTGGAGCATCTCAAAGGAGCAGGAGGCTCTGGGGCCATTGGGAGTGGCTCTACCTACAATCGGCATGACTCCTTCAACATGTTTGGAACTATTTTGATGTTTACAATGAAAAAGGTTTCTCACTTCTGCTCTGAAGTCAAAGGTCAGAAAACATGAATGAAAGAGTTTAGCACTTTGGAAATGTTGCTTTAAATTGTGCTGTATGGAAAAATAACCCTGTCTTTTTCTCTGAATCTAAAACTGGCAAAAATCATGCACAACCCTACTCCATTCACCCATGTATATTAGTTCATGCACCATACTGTCTGATTAAGGCACTGTTTCTCCAAAATAATGAGAGTGACCTTTACTTAGCTACTTTTCTGTAATGCCAGGTGAATATGTCAATGGTATTCAAAAATGCAGAAACTGTCATTTAAAAGGCACTGTCAAGGATCAATTTACAACAAGCCTTGTTTTTCTGCCTACCAGTAGAATAGGGTTAAGACTCTATAAGGACAGGAGCTTTTGGGTACAGGCAAATATACTTACCAAAGGGAACAATAATGGGACAGGTGATGCTATAGGTCATAACAACAGCAAATACACAGCAAATCCAGGCATACTCCAATCCAAATTGGAAGTCATAAGCTTGGTTCTGAAGAAAACACAGTAACATATTTTATAATTTCATGATGAGTGTGAAAAACATTGGTGTGTGCGGGACAGCATGCTCCAAAGGACCTGTGTGGACTTAACCACATTCAGAATTGAGATTTGACATCTGAACACCATGTTTAAAGAGAGCTCAAAAAACCACAAACCCCACTTTAAAACTACATTTTAAGAAGGATCAAAAAGTGTGGTTTTATAACTTAAAACACTTTTCTGTTTTGTGTCCCCAAGAAATTTCTGAGCCTAAGACAACCATATCATGGAGATTTTTTTGACAAGATTTGTTCAGAAGGGATCGGCCCTTGCCTTCCTCTGAGGCTGAGAGAGTGTGACTTGCCCAAGGTGGCCCAGTGAATTTCCATGGCTAAGAGGGAGTTTGAATCCTAGTTTCCTGGTGTCCAAATCCAGATCTCAAACCACACCATCATGCTGGCTCTTTTAATAATAATAATAATAATAATAATAATAATAATAATAATAATAATAACAACAACAACCTTTATTTGTATACTGCCCTATCTCCCCAAAGGGGCTCAGGGCTGTTTCCAACATGTAATGCAAAACATTCAATTGCCAGAAAGAAATTATACAGACAATTACATCAAAATAAATACATCCAATAATATAACAAAGCTAATTAAAGTTAACAAAGTAACAACAACTCAATGTCATAAAATACAAAAATTCTGCTAAAATACATTAAAGATAAAAATATTTAAAAATCCATTTCATTTTAGCCCCATCAGTAGAGGTTCAACAAAACCAAAGGACAAAGTTACTAAATGGACATGGGCCAACTATAAAAGGGCTGGGCATCGGATAGAGCAAACAGCAAAGCATAGGTCCAGGGAAGTGGATGAAATGCAGGACAGAGTACTATCTGGTTACCTGGAACCTGGGTGTAGGGACTAATCATTTTCGAAAACTTGTTGGAACATCCAGGTTTTCAAGTCCCTACAAATGAAGGGCAGTGTGGGGGCCTGCCTGCTCTTCCTGGGTTGGGAGTTCCAAAGTCAGGGGACCACCACTGAAAAGGCCCTCCCCCTCATCACCACCAACTGTGCCTGTGACAGTGGTGGAAGCAAGAGAAGGGTCTCCCCTGCAAATCTTAAAGCCCGTGCCAGTTCATAGGGGTGATGCGATCACGAGGATAGGCAGGATCTGAACTGTTTAGGGCTTTGTAGCTCATAACCCGCACCTTGAATTGGGACTGGAAGCTTATCGGCAACCATTGGAACTGCTTTAATAGGGGTATCATATGTTTCCTATAATTAGCTCCTATTAGTACCAATTGCAGTTTCCAGGCCATCTTCAAAGGCAGGGTGCATTGCAATAATCCAATCTGGATGTAACCAAGGCATGGACCACCATGGCCAAGACCGGTTTCTCGAGGTACGGTCATTTAACCATTAATAATCCCAACGTTTTGACTGAGCAAACGATAGTTAAGGAAACTTCTTTCTTGCTTGAAAAGTGGCAAGTTGGTCTTGCTAGGCAGTTCTCAAACTTGCCCTCAACAACTGACAACACAGTTTCATTACTGTTGTTGTTGCATCATAAACAGGAATAAGACATCAAATCATGGTTAAATACTGTTTATTCTTGGCTGAATAGAATTTTGTGAGGTCCCAACTTTACAAGTTGTTTCATCTTTTCATTAATGGAAACCTTTTCCAAGGTTTATTTTCATCTTTTCAAATCTTTTTGACACAACAATTTTATTTATTTATTTCGTACATTTCTACTCCGCCTTTCTCTCCATAAGGGGACTCAGAAAGATACAACGAAAAAGTATCTTTCTTTCAAAACAAAGCTCAGCTTCTCAAGAAGTAAAATGTGTCTTTGGAAATTAAGGCTACACAGTATGTTTAAATTCTGCTGATATATATGGAATATAATCATACCAATAAAGCTTGTCTTAAATGGACACTTCTCATAAACACCTAGAGAAGCTGATTTTTGAGCCCCTCCCCATGTGAACTAGAGGCAGGATATGTTTCTAGATCTCTAGAGTTTTATGAGTCTGGAGCTTTCTCTGAACAAGCCATAACTCTTGGGAATCGGAGAGATTTAGGGAACTCCAATGGCAATTAGAATTCAGTAGAATTTCTAACACATTCATCTACATTTGACTGAGGAAAAAATAAAACCACAGACCCGCTTGACATGAAGCCTTTCTGGTTCAGACTTGGCAAAACCGAGCCGTGTAGCATAGACAACGAGTCCGGGGATGCGCATAAGTGCCATGGCTGTCCCTATCAGGCTGGTGGTGATGACATAGTTGACAAAGAAAGCACCATTATCAGGGAGGAAAACACATCTGTCCACAGAAAAAGAGTGGGGAAGGTGGCAGAGAGAGAAGGAGAGAAATTTTAAATAAACATTTAAGTACAGTTTGCCCTACACATTTGTGGGTTTAATTTTTGCAGATTTTATTATTTCTATATTTATTTATCAATATGATATCTCTAGGAATATCTAGGCTCTCCGGTTCAAATCAGTGATCACATTCCACCAGCAGTTGACCACAGAATTATGTTGAGGACCTCAGGATTGCTAGAGAGAACATCTCTTTAGGAAACTCTAGGTCATAGGATCATAGAGTTTGAAAAGACCTTGTGGGCCATCCCGCCCAACTCCCTGCCAAGAAGCAGGAAAATCTGGGTTGCTGTGAGTTTTCCAGGCTGTATGACCATGTTCCAGAAGCATTCTCTCCTGACGTTTCACCCACATCTATGGCAGAAATCCTTAGAGGTTGTGACATATTTTGGAAACTAAGCAAGGGAGGTATATATGTCTGTAGAAGGTCCAGATTGGGAGAAAGAGCTCTTGTCTCTTTGAGGCAAGTGTGAATGTTGCAATTAATCACCTTGATTAACATTGCAAAGCCTTGCATCTTCAATGCCTTGCTGATTCCTGCCTGGGGAAATTATTTGTTGGGAGGTGTTAGCTGGCCCTGATTGTTTCATGTCTGGAATTTCCCTGTTGTCAGAATGTTGTTCTTTATTTACTGTTCTAATTTTAGAGTTTTTTTTAATACTGGTAGCCAGATTTTGTTCATTTTCATGGAAAATTGCATTCAAAGCACCTTCGACAGATGGCCATCCAGCCTCTGTTTTAAAGCCTCCAAAGAAGGAGCCTACACCACACTCCAGGGCAGAAAGTTCCACTGCTGAACAGCTCTCACAGTTAGGAAGTTCTTCTTAATGTTCAGGTGGAATCGCCTTTCCTGTAGGTAATCATGATTCTATGGTCAAGCTCTGGCAGAGACTGACCACAGAGTCACACTGGAGAACTTGGGGAAGAAGTGTTTTTACAGGTTGTTAAAAATAGCATTTTAAATTCACATTTTTCTCACTGAAGGGCTCCCCTTAGCTCTCTGAAAGTGGAGGGCCTAATGTACTAGGGATTTCCAGAATTTCCGGTTATGAGTCAAGATCATATGCATATATGTATATGTACATCTTACATCTATGCATATTCCAGTAATAACTAGTGACTTCCATGGTAGCAAAGCAGTGAATAGTAATTTGAATAGAAATTCATTCAAAGGTGCTGAAACCTATCCTCCATTCCCACTCCATCCACCATGTTCAGCATCTTGGACAGCTCCTTAAAAATCGGATAAACCCGAGACTAAAATCACCATCTTGCTAACACAGAAGCCACCAAGCACTGCTGCAAGAAAGAAGTCTGATCACTAATGATCCAGCTGATCACCTCTCTAACATACACGCAAACACACATTCATACCATATTCAATAATACTCACTGAAACCGCATGTCTGCCTGATCCAGAAAGTGAGTGTCAAAGAGCCAATGGAAGAAAAGATCCAAACTACAGAGGACGAACAGAGAATTGAAACAGATTAGAAGTTTATTTTCTGTGAGTACACACACACACACACACAGTCATGCAATTGAGCAAAGAATTGAGCAATTGAGCAAACTGTACTCAGTTAATTGAACTGAGGAACCCAAGCTCTCTGTATGTTGTTGGCCTGCAACTTCCTTCATCCCTTTACAGCTATGCTGGATAGGACTGATGGGAGTTGTAGTCCAATTTCTAAAGAGCCATTTGTTCTCAACCTTTGGCTTAGTACAATTACAGGTTCTTTAATTGAGAATCTGATTGTGATGTCCTATGACTCTCATATCATTGAAAGTAATGTGAAATAATAATAATAATAATAAATGGGATAACCATCCACTGAATAAATCCTGTTCAATACTTATCTACGGTAGATTAGGCATCCTCAAACTGCAGCCTTCTAGCTCTTCAGGCCTACAACTCCCAGAAGCCCTAGCCAGGATGTCCAATGGTCAGGAATTCTGGGAGTTGGAGGCCCAAAGATGGATGGCTGCTGCTTGAGGATACCTGAACTAGTGGATGGTCTCAATACGAGAAACTGCTAACAATGTACATTTATATTGTTCAGGATTTATGAGAAAGTAATACTAGCTCCTTGCTAGATTCTCTAGAGCAAACGGGTCATAACACAGTCTGGGGAAACTGGCTAGAAATGGTTGATGTTGAATATTATAGGATGTGAGTCTAGGCTCCTTGATAGCGAACACTTAATTCATTCTGTGCCCTCTAAGGGTAATATAAATAGCACATTACTGTTTCTGTTTAAGGTATTTTCTACATCATACCACATATCAGCATACTCAAGATGGACTAGTCACATTTACTCATGTTTTAGAACATACACTGAAATTCATGTCTAGTGGAAATCATATTGACTTAAATAGCTCTACTTTAAAAGTACAACCACAATTAAGTTCAATCTCATGTACTAGCAGTAGCATGTAAAATTCTCACTAACTGACAATTTTCCAGAATGATTTCACTTCCTATAATTACTTGTTTACTGTTTTGTTTCTGTCCATCTTACTATAGTAATTGATGGCATGTACACCATCCCACTGTTAGTCTTCCAAGGGATCACAAAGTAGTAGAAAGAGGAGCTAAAGGTATATGATTTGTGCAAGCTGCTATTGTACCTTGTCAGTCCAAGCGACGGCAAGATGATAACCATAAATATCAGGAAGAAATAGCACTTGTGCATTGTGATCTGGTTTTTATTTGACCTAAAAGAAACAAAGAAACAAAACCATATTTATCTGAGAGAGAGAGAGAGAGAGAGAGAGAGAGAGAGGAGGGCAGGGAGAGCAAAAGAGAAGGAAAAGGAGGGCGGAACAACAAAACTGGGGGAAGCTAGGCTGGAAGTCTGCAATGAAACGTCAGGAATATACAAACAGCATCAACTACAACTCATTCCTAGGTTTGTTGACAAGCATATTGAAATATAATATGGAAACCAATTATACAAACAATAATTAAGGAACATGTCCAATAACAATCAGAATGGTTATGGTGTACGATTTTTGGATAATGTGATTTTAATATTTATACTAGGATGTTTTTAATCCTTTGTCTGAATGTTTAATATTTGTTTATGTCTTATTTTTAATGGTTTTAATTATCTGAAGTCATAGTTATATGTAGTAATTAGTTATTATGATTTCTTTGTTTTCTGTATGTTGGCATTGAATTTTTGCCATTAGTATGTTGTAAACTGCCTTGAGTCCCTCCAGGAGAAAGGCAGTATATAAATATAGTAAATAAGTAAATAATAAACCAAATACATCTGCATGAATTGTTCAAAGGAATAGCCATGACAGTCTGTTGAAATAATTCCAACCAAGCTTAAAATCTTGTTGGGATATTACTCTGGGTTTTGCCGAAAGGTATACATTTCAAATGATGGTGTAAGGAGGAATCAAATGCCCTCAATGCAAATGGTTTCCTACTGGTTGGCTTAAAGGCCAGTCTGACACTGAGATGGCCTCTGGAATATTAATCATTGCCACTGCGTAACTATGCTCATATTTATAGTTCCCAGTCCTCATAGACTATAGTCCACCTGGGGTTCATAAGATTGCAGACTTTTCTTTAGACCATGAAGAACTCCAGGTTCTCTAGGCCAGGGCTTCTTTTCCACTCGTGACTCCTTTCCCCCCAAGAAATTTTTACATGAATCCAGGTATGCAAGTATATAAAATAAAATAGGTATAAAAACTCAACATATACTAATAATAAATCAGCCTTTGAAAGGTTAATTTTCCTTTTTGTAGAGTGCAGCTGAAGAATCTTCTGCAGAGTCCACTGTGAACACTGCTAATAGATTTGCATAAATGGGTGGCATTCAGAAACTTTTTGTTGTTGCCGAACTTTTTGTGACCCCCAACATTGAGGTAAGAGGACCCCATTTGAGGCTGGGAACCACAGTCTAAGAAGCAGTGCTCAAGACTAGGGCTTTTAAAACCCTTTCCACCCAAGACATTTTTATGTGACCCCAGGTATATAGGCATAAAACCAAACATTTACTAATAATACATCAGCATTCACAAAGCTTGCTAAACAAGCTGATTTTCTTTTTTATGAAGCACAACTGAAGCATTTTCTGCACAGATCACTCTAAATAGTGCATACCAGATTCATGTAAATATCTAAAACCCACAAGGCTGTTTTACTGTTGCCAATTTTTTCACGACCCCAACGTTAAGATAGAGGGGTCAGGACCCACAGCTTAAAAAACCCTGCTTTAGATGTTCATCAGAATTTAAAAAATTCAGTTGCCAACTCAAGGATCTAGATATCTAGAAAAATGCATTAAGGTAAACATATCTAACCCCAAATAATGCAATGCCATTTTGAGAGTTGCAGCCTAAGGTCATAAGGCTTACCTTGTCCAATGTGACTCAAGGTAAGCTGAATAGTACACTATGAAAGGAAGGAGCACAGAAAAGGCCCAGAGCAGTAGAGTGGGAAGGAACTGGGTGACAACTGGGTTCTAAAAGAGAGAGAGATAGACCAGGAGTAAGTTCAGTGATTTTTCCCTGAAAATCTACTATTTTATCTTCAAATGGATTAAAAGCATGCACTTTTTGGTGGCTGGAAGAACATGCCCAAGGATCCACTTCTCCATCCCTTGCTAATACTGTAATTGGGAAGAACCATAGAACCATAAGCCACTTCATGGAAAAAGGAATGAGAGAAACAGATCTGTGGTGATTGGTTTCTGCCGAACCTTCCTATTTCTGTCTATTAGTCAGAGAACAACCTGCACCATGCTTCCTTCAGCACAACAGCCTATTCAAGTACCAGGACATATTTTCAAATCATAAATGAAAATGTTAAGTATCACATCGAGCATATAGTACTCTTGTTTCTCCTGAGTCCATAGTGGGTAAGGATCCATTCTGGAGATACTTAAATTCTTAGTGTGCTGGAGAAATAAGTGTGCCTCCCTTTGCAGGAAGAGAGTTAAAGCATGGAATGAAGAAGCTCAGAGAGGCAGTGAATGGGATGCCACTTTTCCCAAGGCTGTAGTGTCCTTGAAGTAGGATCCCATGAGATAATGGTGAGAATGGCACCTTGAGGCTCTCCACAGGCCGTGTAACGTTGAACAGGTCCATGGTGTTGACAATGATGGCAGGTGTGGTGAGGAAGAAGAGGAGGATGAAGAGGCTGATGTTGAGCAGGATAAACCGTACCCACCACGAAGCACCATGGATGGATAAATTCTCCCTGCAAGAAAGAAAGCAGGTGTATAATGTGGCATGCAGAAAAGCCCACTCTGTCCTTCACCCAACCCAGAATAACACCCAGTTTTTAATTAAAGGACCAATTAAATGATCATACAAGCATATCCAAGCATTGTTATTGGAGTATGATGCTCTCCTTTATGTCTGTCATGTGACAAAGCTCTCCTGGTATTAAGGGCTGAGGTTAATTAAACAAACACAAGGAGTGCCCAGATCATATTTACTTATAAAGAAAACTAAAGTCTTGAGTCTTTCAAAAGTCTGGCTAAAATAACAGAATTGCAGTCACAAACTGAGTAAAAATGAACACAAGCCAGGGTCAAAAGTCCAATTAATGCAGACAAGCTGAGTACTACAAAGCCTGGTCCAATAGTCAGATTCTAGGAATTCACTTATCAGACTTCGTAAAACAGGGCCAAGGATACAAACTGAAATTCAAGTCCATAAATCAAGCCAGGTAGTCAGTCAAAAATTCAGAGTCATGATTCCGGATTCAACTGGGTCCGAACAGGATTACAGGAACAAGTTCAGAGTCCAGAATTCTAATCCAGGGGCAGCAGAGCCAGGATCCAGGACAAGAGGACCAAGGTACGATGTTATCTGCTACCAAAGATCTATTTTCTTCCAGACCCCTTTTTACCAAGAGAGCTCGGCTGCTGCTCATTTCAGGTCCGGGGTAGTTTTTTTCAAAATCAGAAGGAACTTTCTTTTTCCCTCAAATACTACCCTGGAAGTAGACCTCCTGGAAATTTTTGTGGTGTGTAACCAACCCATAAAAGCAAAAGCAAAAACCTAGGTGGATGAAGGGTCTCAAAATTAGCTTTGAGTGCTACATATAGTCTATGTGTTACACTTCATTTTTTCCATACATCTTTGATGCCATTTCAGCAGCAAGTAAACACCACATTATTTCCCTTGACAATTCAATACATCATGTAACTCAATCTGACAATGGTTTTATCAATTCTGGTGATTGCACATTTCTTCTAATTACTATTTTATTTTACTACATTTTATATTCTGATTGTTTTTATTTATCTCATTATACAAATGTCCTACGACATTTTAACAGAAAAAAATTAACTGGCACAGAACTTTTTTTTCATTTCAGAATTAATAAATTCATGCTGAATGGGTCCCTAAAATGGAAGGGCAGCATCAGAATCTGGAGTTGTTAAGCAGGACATGCAGCTATAGAGAAAGGGGGTCTTTAGAAAACACCAGAAATATCATACACTTGGCAGTCTCATTAGTCACCCAAAATCAGTTCCCCAGAAACCTTTAATTTCTTTCACTAGTTGTCACTGCATAAAATGGTGTCTTTGTCTAGGCAAAATCATATTGTGAAATATCCCAGTGTGGAAAATGGGAATTGAAATTTTGACAAGGTAGCATAACCTTGGGAATTTACCAGATGATGTCATTGGGAGCAGGAGCATAGCTAACTCCCCAGCAGTGGGACTTCACGACAGTGGTAACAGATGATTGCTGTGGATTTCTGTAGCAGTAGGGATGGTTGTAATCCTTCAAAATCCTGGAAGAGAGAGAAAAGGAAGCTTCAATTGGCTCTAGATGGGCTAGTTTTCATGCCATGTTATAAACTTTTAAAGAAAGGGTTGACTTTGCAGTAATCCACCTGCACCCAGCCCACGCATGAGGCATCTTAAATGATAATGTAGATTACTAGATATTCAGGCTTGCTATAATTTGAGCTGAAAAGACTGATACTGATACTATTTTTAAAAAGCAACAAATTCTATCCTCTATCACCCTGGTCGCTAGAGAGTCTCAATAAGGGAATTCTGGCCCTAGTTACAATACAAAGCTAGGCCCAAACACAAAAAATAGGCCTTCAGGTGAACTAAAGACACTTACTCAAACTTTTGCAAGAAGAAATGTGTTTGGCTTTGCAGTTATGGCACCTGATATCTCAGGGCCCTTCCACACAGCCTTATATTCCAGAATATCAAGGAAGAAAATCCTACATTATCTGCTTTGAACTGGGTTATCTGAGTCCACCCTCAGATAATGTGGGATTTTCTGCCTTGATATTCTGGGATATAGGGCTGTGTGGAAGGGCCGCCAGAGAAAAGGAACTGGTCCTTCCTTCTTTCCCCAACTGCAAGATAAATCTTATCAACCTTTACAAGCCTATCTAAACATGGCAAAAGATTTAAAACTAAATGTAAATGCATAAAGCAGTCTTCCCTGTCCCCTTCCAAATATACTGGATTACAAATTTTGTCATCTTCAACTAGCAGTGCCAATGACTTGCTTGCTGGGGATGATAGGCATTCAGTACATTAGGTTGGCAAAAACTGTCATAAAGTGCTTCCAATCATACATTGCGGAAGATCCAGGGAGGGTACAAGTGCAGTAACAGATGTGGAACTGACTTTATTGCTTTACCGCCACACACCACTTGCTTTGGACTTATTCACATTGGTATGGTAGGCAAAAATGGCTCTCTCTTTCTCTGTGTTCACTCCATTTCCCCAATACAATCTTATTGGAATGATTAGCAGTAGAGGACACTCACGTGGCTGTCATCCTTTCATCCTGGAACGTGACAAATGCCATATCAAGGCGCTTGAGCGCAATCCGGCTGCGTTCAGCATTAAACTCATCTGTCAGTTTCTCTTCCAGCTCCCCATAATATTGTTCAGCATCAACCTAGCAGAAAGCGTAGGGGTGGGTGAACCCAAGAAAGAAAAGAAAAACACTCATTTCATTCATTTACGTTGAAATGGCAGCAAGAGTAAACACTGGACAAAGTTAGCATCTGCACGTAGGCTCACAAGGACTGAACTGACTGGTTGCTTCTCTGAACTCCAAACATGTCACAATTCTTTGGGAAATATTGTGAAGTGATACGTGCTGGTTTTGGCTCAGCATTTCCACCAAGAAAATAAACTGATTAAATTTCTCCTAACAAGATCAAGTAAAAGTTGGAAGTAAGACTACACAGCAATCCTGCTATGAAATAAACATTCATCAGTCAGAAGTTGCCGATGGACTGAGTCAGCTGTCACAGGAAGGTGTGTGTGGAAGTGAGTGAGATCAACTGCGTCATTCCAGCCCTTTCAGGCAGACGCCACAACCAAAAAAAGAACAGCAGTAACTCTGTCAAGGAGACTTAGGGAGGGTAACAGCTGCAAACTGCCAAAGTGCATTATCCAAACAGACCTCAAGATGGCATTAGCTGAAGCACGTTTTCTGAAGGAGGATACAGTTGTGCAATACAGTGGGTTCTCTGCATCCTTACAGATGGATAGGCACTGTGGATAGACACAATCGAAAAAGCTGCAGCCATGAGTTTCTAGGACCAAGCAAGAGCTGTTGACAGGGTGTCTTGGAAATCTCTTATTCAAAGGGTCATTGTAAGTTGGAGCTGGCCTGATGGTAATTAACAACAACAATCTGTTTCTCTTGTATGCTCTGAATATCAAGTGATCCCCCCAAATGTTTACAAAATGCATTGTTGGGACAGAGTGGAACTGTACTCATTCTTCAGCTAGCTGAAGATGTCTTGGTGCTTAAGGTAGAGCAACAAATGACCCCCCCCCCAAACAACGTCAAGATATGTAGTTATCTAAATACGGCCAGGTTATTTTTGCATGATGAATTTTAAACTTGCATTTTATGTTTAATCTCTGTTTTGTGCATTGTAATAGGTATTTTGTGGAAATACATTTTAATATGTGTACTTTAAAGAATGTTTTTAGGTAAATGTGTATTTTAGCAATGTTGTAACCTACCTCGAGCCCCAAGGAGAAGAAGGTAAGAAATAAAAATTAGTATTTGAAACATAACAAGATTAGTACACAGCAAACAAGATCACTGTGGTGGCTGTTGTATTGGATCACATGTCAGACACTTCCCAAGTGTCTAGGACTGTGTGATGTATTGGTAAATAATGCGTGCAGATCCTAGTAGAATGGCCTTTTGCAGCTGACAGATGGTTATTTTGTCAGTGCCGATTGTGTTTAAGTGCAGGCCAAGGTCTTTAGGCACTGCACCCAGTGTGCCGATCACCACTGGGACCACCTTTACTGGCCTGTGCCAGAGTCTTTGCAGTTCAATCTTTAAATCCTCATATTGTGTCAGCTTTTCTAGTTGTTTCTCTTCAATCCTGCTGTCGCCTGGGAATGCAACATCACCAATCCACACTTTGTTTTTAAATACGATCGTGAGGTCAGGAGTATTGTGCTCCAAAACTCTGTCAGTCTGAATTCGGAAGTCCCAGAGCAGTTTGACGTGTTCATTTTCTGTAACTTTTTCAGGCTTGTGGTCCCACCAGTTCTTTGTCGCAAAGTTCAAGTTCCAATGAATCACCTGAGCAACGGTTTTATGTCTCTGCTTGTAATCTGTCTGCACAATCTTATTGCAGTAGTTGAGGATGTGATCTATTGCTTCATCTGCTTCCTTGCAGAGTCTACATTTGGGATCTGTTTTCAATTCTGGCTTTGATGGCATTGGTTCTAATGGCTTGTTCTTGGGCTGCCAGAATCAGGCCCTCCGTCTCCTTTTTCAAAGTTCCACTTGTGAGCCACAGCCATGTTTTTTCTTTGTCAATTTGGCTCTCAATTTTTCCCAGGAACTGTCCATTGAAAGCCTTCTTTCACCAGTTTTCTCTTCTGCTTTGGATTGTGTTTTTACGGTATTCACTCTTTGTCTTTTGCACTTGAAGTAGTTTGCTACTATTGACTTCCCTCAGTGTTGGTTCTTGACTGCCTTTCACATAATCTGCCAGGGCATGTTTCTCTTCTTCTTCCGTTTGTTTCACTTGCAGAAGCCCTTTGCCTCCTGATTTTCTGGGCAGGTAAAGTCTGTCAACGTCACTACTACTACTACTACTACTACTACTACTACTATTATTATTACTATTATTATTATTATTACTACTATTATTTCTCCCCATTGCAGACTATACCAATATAGTAACACATCAGTGTATAACCAGAAAATGTATGCCTTTTGTGATAGTTAAGCTCTATGTTGCTTCGGGAGTCTTCATTCCAACTGATGGTAGGGTTGGCCTTTGCTAGTACCTATGTCCCTTATTGACTGCTTATGAAGTTGAAGGATGAAGAGCCCTCAAAACATGTTCAGATGCATGCTCTCAGGCTTCCAGCATGAAAAGGGGATTCTGGTCCATCAGAATTTCTGTTTAGATGAAGCCTAGTATTATAGGGTATAGGTGTCATAGTGAGCAGGGATGGAAGTCCAAGGTGGTGGGTTCATGAGTGCGGGGATGGAGGGATTGTATTGTCTACTGTGTTTGTCCTATCTCTGTATGTTGTGTTGCTCTGTTTGTGAATGTATACAATTGTTTTTCCTTTTTTAACTAATAAAATTTATTAAATTATTTTTTAAACAGGAAGCCTATGTTCATGTCAGATCCCTTTACAAGTCTCTTGGAAATTTGATTGAGGATATGATGAGGGCCAAAGTTCTAGTTCCCTCAGGTTTTAGTATATGCTTGAGAAATGATTCCTTCTGACTCTTACTTCCCCTTTCTTGAAAACAAAGAGACCACCCTTAACTGGAAAATAAAAATAAAAATGGGATGTCAATAGTATTATCTGTCTTGGACTATGGCTTAACCAAGCTCAGATTCAATCCTTGGGGCTAAGGACATTAATGCAGTGATTAAATGTATGTGCTGAAAGTTAGTTCAAATTTCCAAATTTTAGTTCTGTTATGAACTTTGCCAGGAAGTGAAACAGGACAGGATTAGGAAAGTTACTTTATCTGTCAACATTGGCTCCTTCTGTTTCTTGTCAGTGGGTGACAGCTCACTTCCTTGAAGGAGACTGCCTCTAGCTCAGCTTGACAACTAGCACATAAGCAAATCAGTGGAAAACAAGTGACCAAAAATGCCATACCCTCACTTTGGAGCTTGAAAATGTTAGTTTTTTTTACTTAAAATTCACAGAAACCAGCTTAGATAGCCATACTGGTCAGGTGATTCAGGATATCTGTGTCCTGACTTTCACATATACCTCTTCAAAGCCACAAAAACGGCAACAGAAGATGCGGGAACAGGGGTGGATCCTAATCATGATTTTCCCCTCCTTTTGAGCCTTGGTGGTGAAGAAAAGCCTTCCCTTCATTGCTTTGCGCCTGTCAGAAACAGATTAGAGAGGAAAGTTAATGAGAACATCAATTTACATTCAGAGTGAGATGTTCCCAACACATATGCAATAGCAACCATATGGCTTACCTATGGGAATTTGGGCCTTATGAAGTCTACAAAATGCATATAACTTTGAAGCACATGTTTTTAGAAAAACAAGTTTCTAGCATGTTAGCATGCTGTACATGGCTGTTACATCATCAGTGAACAGTGCCATAAGGAGCTCAGAACTTAGTCAGCCCAATCTGAGATGCCATTATTCATGAAACTCCCCTCACATTTAAGAGCCCCCCCCCCCCCCCGATATACATAATTCAGAATAGTGATTCCCAAATAGCTATCCTGGTGTTTTGGACTTCAACTTTCAGAAGCCTCAACTACCTTGGCCAATGATCAAGGGATTCTGCGGGCCGAAGTAAAAAATATCTGGAAGTCCAGAGTTTGGAAAACACTGGTTTAGAAGATCTCCTCTCTCATAAGATCTTAGAAGATGTTCTCCTTTTGCTAAAAAGTAATGTCAGATAGTTTGGCCAGGGAAACCCACCAGGTGACCTTGAGTAAGTCCCACTCTCTAAGCCTCAGAGGTTCACCATAAGTTGTAATTCATTTGAAGGCGCCCAATAACAATTGTGTGTATGTGAACTACTACTAAAATAGTAAAGGTAAAGGTTGCCCCCTGACATTAAGTCCAGTCATGTCTGACTCTGGGGGTTGGTGCTCATCTCCATTTCTAAGCCGAAGAGCCGGTGTTGTCCATAGACACCTCCAAGGTCATGTGGCTGGCATGACAGCATGGAGCGCCGTTACCTTTCCGCCGGAGCGGTACCTATTGATCTACTCACATTTGCATGTTTTCGAACTGCTAGCTTGGCAGAAGCTAGGGCTGACAGCAGAAACTCATGTCGCTCCCTGGATTCGAACCTGCGACATTTTGGTCAACAAGCTCAGAAGCTCAGCGCTTTAACCCACTGCGCCACCGGGGGCTCCACTACTAAAATATGGATCCCAAATTTCCTCTGTCAATTGAAGGAGCCCCATTTATTGATGATAAGAACCAATTCCACATAACACAATACAGAGTTTGAGAGTTTTTTTTCATTGAGCACAGAAGTTAAAACGTATTAACTGTAAAAAAAACAACAACTCCATAGATTTGTTCCTTTCTAGCTCCAGCACGATATGACACTGGGTTGCTGTGAGTTTTTCAGGCTGTATGGCCATGTTACAGTAGCATTTTCTCCTGATGTTTTGCCTGCATCTGTTCAAGCATGCAGAAAATATAAAGGTACTAGATTGGAGAAAGCTGTTAACGGTAGTTTTCATTACTTGGAGTGATGGTAGAGGCTCCTTCTTTGGAGGCTTTTAAGCAGAGGCTGAATGGCCATCTGTTGGGGGTGCTTTGAATGGGATTTTCCTGCTTTTTGGCAGGGATTGGACTGATGGTCCACAAGGTCTCTTCCAACTCTATGATTCTATGATTATATTCCATGTATATCAGAGGAATTTAAACATACTGCGCAGCTTTTTGTGCAGAGACTATAATACCACTCTAGCATGTAGGAAACTTGGGGTAATTGCATAAAACATTCCAAGGAACTCAGGGCAAATTAGATCTCAACAAAATAAAGCAGAGAACCCACCTCTTTGAATCCAGCTTCATTAGTTTGTGAACATCAAAGCAAAACTGGACAGCAGTTACAGTGCAGCTTGGATAGGCCTCACTGTGAGGAAAAACAATGATATAATAATAAAAAACATATGAGCAAGAAAGAAAAGATGTCCAACCTAGCCCCCTAAAGCAGGCATGGGCAAACTTGGGCTCTCCAGATGTTTTGGACTTCAACTCCCACAATTCCTAACAGCCTACTGGTTGTTAGGAATTGTGGGAGTTGAAGTCCAAAACATCTGGAGGGCCCAAGTTTGCCCATACCTGATCTACACTGTAGAATTAATGCAGTTTTACACCATTTCAAGTGTCATGGTTCAGTGCAATGGAGTTGTGAGATTTGTAAGTTTGGTGGGGCACAAGCACTCTCTAGCAGAGAAAGCCAAAGACGTTGCAAAACTACAACTCCCTACCGGCTGTCAGGAATTGTGGGAGCTGAAGTCCAAAACAGCTGGAGGGACAAAGTTTGCCCATGCCTGCCTTAAAGGAATGGAAGTTGGGATGGTACCATCGAAGACAGAAGACTTTTGGTCAATTAATGCTGAGACATTCTGTTCAATATTCTAAGCATTTGTATTAGATCAATATCCTCATAATGGGAACTCAAAACTCACAAAAGCATGCATGTTGCTTCAGAGTTCTTCATCAGCTACACAGTATGCAAAGCAAAAAGGAAGAATGGAAAAAGGAAGCTTATGATGAAGTTACAATGGGATCCTGAATGGAGGAGGTGGTTACAAGTACTATGGTACCTAGATTGGATTGACAAGCAAACCATGGCTGAGCCTCCATTTCTGAAACCAGAAGTTCCAGTTATTTCTATTTTATGTTTCCATCCTTAGGAGCAAAAGGTTCTTGGTAGATGGAAAACAGAATAGAGAATAGCCAGACCACATTTATTTATTTATTTATTTATTTATTTATTTATTTATTATTCGAACTTATATGCCGCCACAAAATCTAACACAATTTAAAAACAATTTAAAACAGTTTAAAAACAGCAATATCAAAAATCAAAGGCCTGTTGAAACAGGTATGTCTTACATGCCCTGCGGAAAGCTGATAAGTCCCGCAAGGCACGGACTTCAGGTGGCAGAGTATTCCAGAGTGATGGTGCCACTGCTGTAAAGGCTCTGCGTCTGGTTGCCGTTAGACGCAAGGTCTTGACACTGAGAATTTCCAATAGATCTTGGTCCTCAGAACAGAGGGATCTCTGGGGTTGGTAGGGGGTGAGGCGGTCCCTCAGGTACATCGGCCCCAGACCATACAAGGCCTTAAAGGTGAGTACCATCACTTTGAAAGTGATCCGGTGCTCAATTGGTAACCAATGGTAACCAATGCAGCTGTAGTAAGATTGGTGTTATGTGGCATCTCATCGGAATTCCCGCAAGAAGCCGAGCAGCTGCATTTTGTACCAACTTGAGCTTCCGGATCACTGACAGAGGAAGGCCAATGTTGAGGGTGTTACAGTAGTCCAGTCTTGAGATGACCGTAGCCTGGATCACCATAGCTAGGTCGTCCCTGGACAAGTAAGGGGCCAGCTGTCTAGCCTGCCGCAGATGAAAAAAGGCGGTTCTGCTAATGGCGGAGACCTGGGCCTCCATCGTCAGCAAAGGGTCCAAAAGGACTCCCAGACTCTTTACTAATGATGACGGGCATAGCGCCTCGCCATCCAGGGTAGGCAGCTGGATATCTCCACTGCCCGGTTGACCCAGCCATAGGATGTCCGTCTTTGCTGGATTCACCCTCAACCTGCTGGCACGCAGCCATCCAGTAACGGCCTCGAGGCACTGATGGAAATAATCGGGTACAGAGTCCGGTCGGCCTCCCATCTTCAGCACCAGCTGAGTGTCATCAGCATACTGATAACACTCAAGCCCAAAACCTCGAACCAGCTGAGCAAGTGGTCGCATATAGATGTTAAACAACAGAAGGGAGAGAATGGCCCCCTGAGGAACCCCACAAGATAGAGGGGACCTCTCAGAGACCAGGCCTCCCCTCTCCGCTTGCTGTCCACGGTTGTGAAGATTGTGGTTGACTGTGTCAAATGCTGCTGTGAGATCCAATAACACAAGCAGCGCTGACCCGCCCTGGTCAAGCTGGCATCAAAGGTGATCCGTGATGGAGACCAGCACAGTCTCTGTCCCGTGCCCCGCACGGAAGCCAGACTGGAAGGGATCTAGTCCGGCTGTGTCGTCTAGGGATTTCTGCAACTGCTCCGCTGCTACCCTCTCAATCACCTTATATTAACAGAGATTAACTTAAAGGGATGTATTACTGCCAGTGAATACCACTGTAGGCTATATCCCAAGGAAAGCAATGGCAAATTGCTTCTTGAATATTTGTTGCCTGAGAAAACTCTATAAGATTAATATGGTCACCATAGGTCGAAAGAGGATGTTGAAGATGCTACTTTTTAGGCAAAAAGTCGTTAGTATTATTTACTAGATTGGAGGGATGAATGCTCAACAAAAAAGTCAGGCTTTAGGTGATATATTATCTATTTCCTCCTGCATAAAATGCTCACTGAATTTTTTGTACACATTTCTTAAAGTCTGAAACTGGTACCTCCCAGTGACTATCATTAGTCAGCCTTGTAAAGTGAAAGCAAAAGAGAAGGATATATTAAATGATAAAGAAGCTACAGTTTTACTTACTGGAAGTGTTTGATGACAAGGGAAGGATCAGTGATTTCTTTGGGAATCCTGGTAACCATCAGTGTCCGCGCCACCTGAAACAGCAATTAACCTTTTCACATAATCAGGATGTATGGAATTTTATAATCAGTTCTGAAACGTTGGCTATGTTTAGATTGATGAAGAGAAGACTGAAGCTGGCAAGGCACAAGTCTTTCAGCAGTCTTCAGGGGAGCAGGAAAGAAAAGAGGACAAAAAGCGGTGTTCTGCTGCCCCATAAAGTAGATCTCATAGGTGTTAAGTTATAGGAGAGAAGATTTAGCATGAAAGCCAGGAGACATTTCCTAAATGGAAAGATCAATTGCACGCTGAAAGTTATTATTTGACTGTTCAGTTGGCTGTTGTTCATTGGTAGTCCACACTCTAGTTACATCTTGATTGGACTACTGCAATGCTCTCTACATGGGGCTGCCATTGCAAATAGCCTGGAAGCTTCAACTGGTTCAGAGACTGGCAGACAAATTGCAAACTGGGGCATCATTCAAGGAGTAGACAACTTCCCTGTTACGGCAGCTCCACTGGCTGCCAATCTGCTTCCGAGCTAAATACAAAGTGCTAGTTATCACCTACAAAGCCCTGAATGGTCCAGGCCCAGACTATTTGAGAACCCACATCTCCATTTACAATCCCATCCGAACACTGTGATGATCGGGGGGGGGGGGGCTCCTTTCGGTCCCACTCCCATTCCAAGTTCGGCTGGTGGGCACGAGAGAGAGGGCCTTGTCCGTGGTTGCTCCTTCTCTCTGGAACTTCCTCCCCATCAAAGTTAGAACTGCCCCCTCCCTTCTCTACCTTCTCATGCTCTTTGTAATCAAGCTGGATGGAGTGATGAGCCATGCAGAGGACAGTGATGACGAAATAGAGGAGGGCAAAGATACTGTGCAGCCACAGGAGACGGTCCCTGAAAGACAGAAAAACCAAGGCATTTTTCTAACAGGAAAAAAACTGACTATCTAGTTTAGGCATGGGCAAACTTGGGCCCAAGTTTTCTCATTTTCTGATCTAGGTCATAAACAATTGAACAAAACAACATCTATTTTCAAAGACACTTGGTCTGACCCTCATTCTAGCCTGCAGACTCATATGTTCACCAGCAAACCAGGCAACAGCACATATCCCTCACAATATGGCATTAGTGCCATGGGTGGGGAGGCTAGGCCAGAAAGATCCAAACTTAATCCATGGTCATTATTTTTCCTGGGAGTGGGGTGGAGTCTCCTTCTCTGGGAGTTTTTAAGCCAATGGTCAAGGATGCTTTGTGTGTTCCTGCATGGCAGGGGGTTGGACTGGAAGGCCCTTGGGGCCTCTTCGACCTCTAGGATTTGTTCTATTTCATTGCCATATCCTGAATCAAAACAAGCCCTCCTCCAAATGAATGCAAAACAGGAACCAAAAAAAGTTATATTTGATATTTACACCAGACATTGATGGTTTCCAGGATCATTGTTATTCTACACAGTAATATTATGACATTAACAGATTATAGAGATGGGCCAAAACTAACAAAATAAAGTTCAACAACTGCAAGATATTCCACTAAGGCAAAAATGAAATGCAAAAATACAGAATGGGGGATGCCTGGCTTGACAGCAGTACATGTGAAAAAGATCTTGGAGTCCTCGTGGACAAGTTAAGCATGAGCCAACAATGTCATGCGGGAGCTAAAAAAGCTAATGGGATTTTGGCCTGCATATATAGGAGTATAGTGTCTAGATCCAGGGAAGTCATGCTACCCCTCTATTCTGCCTTGGTCGGACCACACTTGGAATCATGTCCAATTCTGAGCACCACAATTGAAGGAAGATGTTGACAAGCTAAAATGTGTCCAGAGGAAGGCAACTAAAATGATCAAGGCTCTGGAGAACAAGCTCTATGAGGAGCAACTTAAAGAGCTGGGCATGTTTAGCCTGCAGAAGAGAAGACTGAGAGGAGACATGATGGTCATCTATAAATATGTGAGTGGAAGTCATAGGGAGGAGGGAGCATGCTTGTTTTCTGCTGCCCTGGAGACAAGGAGGTGGAGCAATAGCTTCAAACTACAGGAAAGGAGAACATTAGGAACATTAGGAAGAACTTCCTAAGTGTGAGAGCTGTTCAGCAGTGGAACTCTCTGCCCTGGAGTGTGGTGAAAGGAAGCTCCTTCTTTGGAGGATTTTAAACAGAGACCGGATGGCCATCTGTCGGCGGTGATTTTAATGTGATTTTCCTGCTTCTTGGCAGCGGGTTGGACTGGATGGCCCATCAGGTCTCTTCCAACTCTAGGATTCTATGATTCCGTGACATAAGATCTCACTGCCTATTGTTTTGTTTTTTGTTATTTTTAAAGCTAATTGTATTGTTTTAATCTGCTTCTGTAAACCGCTCCGAGCCAAATTGGGAGTAGCAGTATACAAGTTAAATAAAATAAATAAATAAATACATTCATGCAGTGTAAATGTGTGTGTGTGATATATACGAATATATAGAGAAGGGAAGAGATAAAGACCGGCAACTTAACAAATGGGAGAAAAATATGGAAATTGTTACCATCATACTACAGCTATTTCCACAAAAAATCATGTATCTATTGAACAAATCATCCACGGATTTAATATTCTTCCCTGCCATGCTCTCATTGTTTAGAAAGGCAAACGTCCATTTATTGTGAGTGGCTTGCTCCTGAAGAGCACTCACACCAGTTACACACCACAAATGTGCACAGAGACAAATGTACACTTCTGCAAATGTACAGAATTCACCATGTCCAGCAAAAAGTTATCTGTAGTTCTGATTCCAAGCAGGCTGATTAAGGATTATACGTATAAATACAGCATGTTTATCCAACAGCTATTACTACAAGTCTTAAATAATACAGTTTGGAGGAATTTGAATCACTTACTCTTTGGGGACATTTGCAATTGTGGTTCGACCAAAATTAGAAGGCTCATGACCTGAAGGGAAGAAAGAAAGGGGAGATCTCACTATCATCTGACAGCAACTTTTGAAAAGAGGCTATTTTGATTTTAAAAACATCCTGTGTTTTCCTGGTGGCTTTGCACCCATGATATCTCCATTGTTATGCATGGGCAAACAGCCTCTGACACTACAAAATTCCAACCAAATTGGGGCATTTCAGTTTAGTTCATAAGAAGATGAGAAATGTTTACTTCTCAGTTCTGTTTGAATCTCTGACACTTCTTGTTCTCTCTCGATTGCCTTCTTAGTTCTATTTATTCCAGTACAGGCAGTTTCTGAGTTACAGACATTCGATTTACATCCGACTCATAGTTAAGAACAGGGGTGAGACAACAGAAAGTGAGAGAAATATACCTGTAGAAAGGGAAATTCACTCCTGGAAATTTTTATTTATTATTTATTTACAGTATTTATATTCCGCCATTCTCACCCCGCAGGGGACTCAGGGCGGATTACATTGTACACATATACGGCAAACATTCAATGCCAATTTGACATACAACGTATACAGACATACACAGAGGCTATTTAACTTTTTCTGGCCGCCAGGGGAGCTGTTGCATTAATAGGGAAAAAGTGTCTCCACTGAAGCTTTCTCACCAGTCCTTGATTCCACAACAACCCACATTTTAAAAAATCCAATTATCATAGGGACAGAAAATGAGGTGAAATCTTCTGAACAGGGGCACTGACAGCAAAACAAACTACACAGGGGTGTTTTCCTCTGTTCTGTCAAAAACAAATACACACACACACACAGACTGGAGATACACTTTAAAAAGTACCTGTTCTGACTTACATACAAATTCAACTTAAGAATAAACGCTATCTTGTCTGTAACTTGGGGACTGTCTGGATCGCATCTCCTTGCGGGGCGGTCCTTGGGAATCTCTTAACCCTTAAATGGATTAAAGATCCATTTTGTGCCAAGAGCTATACCTGAGGTCAGCCTTTGTGCCTAGCTGTAGAGCTCCCCAGTGGATAGAGAATGTTAACATACCCAGGAGGTCACCAGAGAAGTTGACAGGGAGGATGACTGCTATGGAGAGCACACAGATTATCGTGAGCAACACCAGGATGTGACGTTGGAAGGACAGGTAGGTGGTGGCATCAATTCCACACTTGCTTTGAATTTCTTCATCCCTGAGAAATAGGATAAAGCAGGTCAACCTAGAAGTACAAAGCATCACCCTCCTTCCCCAGTCTTTTTACTAGAGAAGAAAACAAGCATCAAAACAAATGCAGATCACATTTCTTTATCACAGCAGTGGACAACTGTATCTATTTTGTGCTTTATGCAATTTTATATTTTCTAGTGGATTCATATTAGTAAAAGTGTAAAATACATGCATTGGGTTGCTGTGAGTTTTTCGGGCTGTATGGCTGTGTTCCAGAAGCATTCTCTCCTGATGTTTTGCCCACATCTATGGCAGGCATCCAAAGAGGTTGTGAGGTCTGTTGGAAACTAGGCAAGTGGGGTTTCTATATCTGTGGAATGTCCAAGGTGGGAGAAAGAACTCTTGTCAGCTAGAGGCAAGTGTGATTGTTGCAATTAGAATCATAGAATCATAGAATCAAAGAGTTGGAAGAGACCTCATGGGCCATCCAGTCCAACCCCCTGCCAAGAAGCAGGAATATTGGTCACCTTGATTAGTATTGAATGGTCTTGCAGCTTCAAGGTGCAACATTCACACCTGCCTCAAAGAGACAAGAGTTCTTTCTCCCACCTTGGACTTTCCATAGATATACGAGGGGTATTTTTTAAGTAAGGTCCGTTTTGTGGTAGACACTAGTAGTTCGTGCGCATACTGCAACGAGCGCGTGCGTCATGTACCGGCATGCCTCGGGAAAAACTGTATTCAGTTTCTGCTCTGTAGCTCACCTGTACGGTTCTGTTCTGTGCTTTAAAAATGTTTAAGACTATCAACTCACCCTCCGCATGTGAGGTTCACTTAGTGATACGTTTTTGTCAGCAAGGAACCTGCCTGCTGCATAAATTCATTGACAGATTTGTGAAGTGTACGGTGATACTGTTATGAGTGAAAGCAAAGTGCGTAAGTGTTGGGGTTCAGCCTGAGTTTGAACTTGAACCTGATTCTCTGTTTGTTCCTCCTGATGCTAATGAAAGTATATTTACTGATGCTAATGGAAATGTACCTTTTGATGCCAATGCTCCTGAAATTAGTGAGGAAGAATCTGCTGTAGGTTTGGAAAATGCCAATGTTCCTGAAATTAGTGAGGAAGGAACTTCTGTAGATTTGGAAAATGAAAGTACCAGTGTTCATGAGAATGTTTCAGAGGGAGACCTTGAACTTTCCCTCCCTTCTGCACCTGTTAACTTTAATGACAACAGAAGGGGCCAAATTTGGGAAGACAGAAGTAAACACTCAGTTTGCGTCGATCCTCCCGAATTCAAGAATTAAAAACATTGGCTTCAAAACAGAAGGGCGGTTCACGGAACCGATTCTTGAGTTTTAATTGCAATACGCCAGGCTGATTGCCTCAGTTCAGGCATTGTTTCAGAATTGATGAAGACCTTGGCAGTTCTCCCGGTTCCCTGGCCATAGTTTGGGAAGATTTCTAGGATATCAAGTACGGTTAGTGGATTGCTAACAGATTCCAGTATTTTCCCAGTGAGGCTTTTGGTTTTGCTTTGTCCATTTAAATTCATGTTTGCTGATTTTGCTGTGGCTTTTGACTTGCATTTTCCTTTATTTTGTAACCATTTTTCTTCAATAAAAAAGGATTGTTTTTCACAGCCAAGTGTGGTGGATAGTTATCTTAGGGCCTCGTTCCCTGCTCTGGATTGCAACAGTAAGTGGGTACGACAATTCAAAGATGGCCGTGACAACATCCAGAATGAGGACCTCTCCAGTCACCCTTCTTTGATTACAGACAATTTGGTGACTTCAGTTGTAGCGAGGATTCGTGAAGAGGGTATTTTAAAATTGGTTCAGAGGTATGATAAGTGTTTGAACAAACTTGGCAACTATGTTGAAAAATAGAGTAAAGTATGTACTTTCTGAAAATAAATTTACTTTTTAAAAATAAACTTTCGTTGTGTACTTATGTTCAAATGGACCTTACTTAAAAAATACCCCTCGTATAAACCCCACTTGCCTAGTTTTCAACAGACCTCACAACCTCTGAGGATGCCTGCCATAGATGCAGGTGAAACATCAGGAGAGAATGCTCCTGGAACATGGGCATACAGCCTGGAAAACTCACAGAAAACCAGTGATTCTGGCCATGAAAGCCTTCAACAATACAAAAAACATACAACCAACTCTCTGTTTTTACAGCTTCAAACATCCATGGACCCGAAAATTTTTTCTAAAGGGCAAACCTTGATTTTGGCATATTATATAAAGGACATCAATTTACTCATGTCCCCTTATGTACTCCAAGTGGTCAACTACTGGTCAAAGGACATTTAATATAATGCCAAGTTTTTAAACTTTGTGTTTTTGAACACAGTACAACTATACTCTTGGTTTGCTTCTGATGCGATAAAAAAATGTACTACAGTTTTATATACAATGGGACATAAATATCCATTGATTTTAGCATTCAATTAGGTCCTGGACCCAAACCTCAGTGAATAACAATGGAATGTTATATATAACAAAGAAAGAATCCCATCAGAAGAATCTGATAATATTTGAGACCTCTGGGACTGGAATTATAGGTTGTTGCCTTCATGAACTACTTTGAATGAAAAGAACCCAATATCTTGGAATCCTGTATGAGATACATTCCTCCTAAAACTGATATATTTTAGCATATCAATTAAAAAAAAAACATTCACATGAGTTGAAGACTCCTGTCTTACAGACGAAACCTACAGTTAAAAAAAGTTCCAATACCATATTATAGTGTTCTTCCTCAATTTTATACTGTTCAGAAATGCTGGACTACAATCCCCAGCGTCCCTCACCCACTATGGCCACACCAGATAAGAGGAGGCTGTATCAGAACATCAAGAAAAATACATAAAATTGTACTTATTTCCTCCTTCTTTCCCCATGATCCTCTTCTTCAGGCGGTATTAAGCATGAGCGGTTCAGTCTGTTCTAATTGTTATGTATCAGTTATGCATCTGTTTGTTCATAAGTACATCATGTCTCATTTAAGGGTTAATTTGTGAACTATTTTCTTTAAAATTATCTGAAGAAAAATCTACATTGAAACTATATATTTGAAAATAAGCCTTGAATATAGTTTCTCAGAGAATATGCATTTCTAGGCTATTTCCCTAAAATACACTTTAATACTTTTAATACTAAATCTACTTTATGCTGAAATACACATTTTAATTTTCTTTTGGGATGTGAAATGCACCATGCAAAGAACTGCTCCACTTCAATTTGAGCATTTGTCCCAAAGGTAGAGATCATGCTAATTTGTCTCAAAATCATTTGTAAAAAAAAATTAAATCTGTATATGCCGTAGCCTCCTCTGGCAACCATTCATTTCTTTGCTATTTAGCCTTCAAAGACTCAGCTAAGGCTAAATGAGTGGGAAGGAATGATTTCTCTTGGATGAGCATGAATTCATTTAGATGCGTCTGAGCGGAAGGAGGTTAATGCACTGTTTATTGAACCTTCCATTATCGCTCTTATTTTAACAATCAGCATGGCTTTTAAAGGCATTACAGGCTTTTAAGCATGTATTCAGGTAGTATATGACTTCTGTTGACATGTTCTGGGCTTCTCACAAGTATAGAGAATTGGGGAGGAAATCTGATACCAGAGAAACGGACCACATAAGAGGGCTTTGTCCCTATCCTCCTCTTCCTTGTAGCTCTTCTCATGTAATAGTAAATCTTTCCTGGAAGATCTATCAAACTTCTGGAGTAAGGTTTTTAGGATATATTTAAGGCTGATGAGGCTCAGGGTGAAAGGATGGAGAGAATCCCTCCTCTGTTCCACTACTTGGATACAACCTAGACTTGATACGGCAACAAGCCAGTGTCTAATCATCATAAATTTCCTGCATCTGTGGAAAGAGTAACAAATATGAAGCTGATGTTTTCCACTCTCCATTCACAGTTGAAGAACAGAAGACTATATGCATTTTGTTTTTGAAGGCTTTCATGGCTGGAATCACTAGGTTGCTGTGAGTTTTCCGGGCTATATGGCCATTTTAATGTGCTTTTTGTCTTCCATTATCCATAGCTTCCTTTTATTAATAATCTTAAGCAATTGGTTCCAAAATAAGGAGAGCTGCACTTCAATATTAGACTTTATCATTGCAAGTCTATTCCGGTGACTTATATTTCCAATTGGCCCATGATGTTAGTTTCCCTTTCAAAATCAGATAGCAAACTATATTGAAAGAGAATGTGAATGTATGTCTGTCCCTGCCATTGATCCAAGGCTGTGAAAGACAAGCACCTGAAATTGGGCATAGATACCAAGAGAACCACAGGGCTGCATATATTAGTTATTTTTAAAAAATGACTATTGGTGATATGTGCTATCAAATCAGCTTTGAGTTATGGCAATCCTAGGAATGGGAAGTTCCCAAGTTGTTGCTGTTGTGGGCCTTCAAGCAATTTTGACTATTGGTGATGCTAAGATGAATCTGTCACAGATGAATCTGACTTGTTTATGAATCTGACTTGTTTATGCCTTCCTCTGAGGCTGAGAGAATTTGATTGGTTATTTGGGGTGCTGATTCAGAAAACTGTATTGGATAGATCACATCAGCTCTAGTTTCCAATACAGAACATATGCTATCCAATAGTTGCCATCTTGCTCACCCACGGAAAACCATATTTAATAAGCCTCGACACCATAAGAGGGTTTCGCAAGACTAGTCATTCTTGTTGCAACGGTATAGTAACAGTGGGGTCGTGGACTATATTTTAGTTCTTACGGATCATAGGTTGGAAACAACTTCTCTAGACCTCTAATTAAAAGCCCTGTTCAGGTCTTGGAAATTCAGAACCATGGCTTCTGTTACTGAATCAATCCATATTTTCTTACTGTCTTTCTTACTTACTCTTCTTTACTTACTGTCTTCAACTCTTCCTAATATTATTTGATTTTCCAATAAATCATGCAGTCTTATGATATGTCCAAAGTACGATAGTCTTGTCTTACTCATTCGGGCTTCTACTGAGATTTCAGGGTTGTTTTAGTCTTGTTCAACCAATTAATTTTAGTTAGCTAAATCTGCCTATAATTTGCAGTATTATCTCCTGTCACTAAATGGCAAACTTCTCTAATCTTCTCTAGAGATGAAGTTGTAGATGGGTTTGGAATATCAATTTCTCCAGAGAACATCTGGGTGGCTCCTCTTGGCCCTTCCTTCTCAGAGTCTCCAAAATCTTGTATAACCATGACAGAAAGGGAGAAGAGAGAAAATCCTGCTGCCCAGAAAGTGGTGGGTGTGGCAGGAAACAAGCAGAGAGAAGCTTAAATAAATACAGAGTGGGGGAAAGAAAGATCAGTGAGAAAGAAAAAGTGGAGAGGAGGTATAGTAGAAAAGAAAGAAAAGAGAACTCAATTATAACAATGACAAATAAGATATGTAACTGTATTTCAGATTTAAGTTATCATTGCAAAGGTTTAGAATGTGTGGTGGAATTTTGGCTAAGGTTTATACTTTCTGTAAATACTGCATTATATTTTGAAAAATATCAAAATGCCATACACTGTTTTTTTTTGTATTTCAAATATTTATATTTTTATTTAAAAGCCTTATTCTTAGACAAGAACATACAGTCATAGACAATCTGTGGCTGTCCAGATGTTGTTGTGCAAACTGTATCACTCTTCATTACTGGCTATGTTGATTTGGACTGATAGCAGTTACAGTCCAAAAACAACTGGAGGGACACATATTGGCTACTCCTACACAAAGAATAATCATCCTGGTATCCTTCAAAGAGCTTTTGATTTTCAGTTAGGTTTTGAGAAACCAAATGCTAGTGAAGAACAAAGCTTTTAAGGGATGGGTGCTCCATTTTTCCATTAACTGATTTGCTTTCAAGATTGTTTTAGTTCAATTGTATTTTTATAGTTTTAACTCGATTCATTGTGTTTCAGTATCACAATGTATTTTGTTTCTGTTTGTACTTGCCTTAGTTTTCCATTCTGATAGAAAGGCAGGAAGTAAATCAAAGAAAGAAATCTTACTCAAGGTGCCCACTGCATAAAATGGTACGAGATGCATGAAAACATAATATCCAATGTAGTGTGTACTCACTTCATCTGGTAGATCGAAATCAGCCAGGAGCATAAACCCTAGAAGTTGATTAGAGAAAACAAATAGCTGGTTAAAATTATTGAGGAAAAGTAACATCTAGGAAAATCCACTCCTACATTATGATTGAATCTGCAACTAAAACTGAGAGCCAACATGGTATAGGAATGTGAGCATTGGTAAACTGGAAATGACTTGAAGGTGCACAACAAGAACATTTGCAATTATGCTGCAATGAGATTACAAATTAGCGTGTTCCTAAACACTGTCTAGGACACTGCTTCTGAAATTGGGGTTGGGATCCTTAGCTTAACACAAATCTATTAATAATAGTTTGGCATCTGAAAAGCCATGATCCCCCAGTCTTTAATCTAGGACAGGAGTAGGCAAAGTGCAGCCCTCGGGCCATACTGCATGTCATTGGGACAATTTTATGCCACCCCCCATGGGCTGAAAAACTCCTTTTGGGACCCAAAGATTTGCTAGGAGGTGTGGGGCTACTTCTGCCATATTTGTGTTCCTTGGGCCATTTAATAAAAAACAAAAAAACAGTTAATAAACAAGAAGTGAATTCTGGTCACTTCATGGTTTTAAAAAATGCAACTCTTGGCTCTAAAATGGCTGGAGCATTGTGAAATGTGACAAAAATGTGCTACACATCCCCAGAGGTCTTTAGGGGTTACAGAAGTTTTTTTTTGCAAGGGGAAGTATTATAAAGGGATAGTATTCTCCAAAGTCTTTTAGGCGGCTAATATAATTCCCATAGTTGTCCACTTCTGCCCTTGAAGATGCGAAGTACAGTAGGAGTTATGACAGTACTTCAGAACTAACTATCCAGAACTGGTTAATGGGGCCTTAAAAGGCCTGGTAAGTCTAACACTGATTGCTAGAAGCAAAGCATAAGCTGACAAATGTCTTAAGTATGCACTTGGCCATTTTCAGGTCTTTCTGATGATAAACCTAGAGCTAGTTGCTGTCAAAAGCAAGCAGAATCTTGGACAGAAGGACCACATGGCTGACACAACATGACAGTTATTGTAAATCTATGTTCTCACTAACTACACATAAAACCTGAAAGGTCTTAACTTAACATTTTCAGAAAATGGCAGCATGCAAATCAAATACAGTGAAGACAATCAGCAAAAGTAATTTAGGACATCAAATATAGATCTAATTCTATTTGCTGCTCGTGTTATTTATAGTTACTGATTATTAATCATATAGCTACAAAACTAATGCAATAAAGAAGTGAGTGTCTGTGAAGAATCTGATGCTTCAGAAGATGAGGAAGGGGATTTTGTGCGGTCTCAGGAGGGGGTTTTGGGGAATGGAAGTGGCACAGAGAGATGTGTTAGTGAATTTCCTGGTAGTTCTCAGGCTGTTCGGGAAGCGAAATCTGTTCCCATGAGAATCTGCCAGACTTAACTCCTGAGAGGAATGTGGGGGAGCATGAGTCTGTTACGGGTTGGAGAGGCTACAGCTGCACTGTGAAAATGTCAAAGAAAGACAGGCTCGCTTTTCCCAGCGGCTTCGAGATAAGCACCAAAAAAGCAGGTGTATGAAGAGTGATGCCATGGGAGGGAATAAAGGCTTTTAAGTGGGCTTCAAGAATACAGCTCTTTGTGAGAACAACATTGCATTTCAAGTGGATACAACTCCTAAGTTCTATGTCCTTGCTTCAAGTGTTCAAGTTTCTGGATTGTGGGTCTTGTTCATGTTTTCTTGGTTAAGTTTCAAATTTCTGGATTACATTTTCTGTTCAGTTCTTCATGGTTTTTAGTCTGGATTAAGCTCTGTTTTGTTCTCAAGTTCTGGACTGAATTATTCAGTGCATGGATTTTGCCTTGTTTACCTGTATTGCCTCAAAGTACAGTTCCAAGTTTTTGCATTCCTGTGATTTGATTCATGAAACTGAATGTCACCTTTACTCAGCAAATCTGGAGTTTTTGGATTTGTCTTTTGGATTGTACTTTTTATTGTGCTTTTTCTTATCTTGTATGTTTTTCTTAAGAAACTTTACTTAGTGGATTCTCTTGCCCCTGCATGGTGTGTGGTTGAAAAGTTGCCTCGTGGCTGGGGTGCAACAGTGTTCAGGAAAAAAAATCAACCCTTTTTGATTTTTCCCATTTAAAACTTACCACATCTTTGTTTTCAACATCCTGCGGGCTGGTCTCTGATGGGGATTTTTCCTTTTCACTTTGCTCTCCATAGAAGAGTGATGTCAGGCTTCCCGTATATTGGAAGTGAGAGAAGAAAGTATGCAAAAAAGTCAACAGGGAAAAGGGATGGAAGGAAGATAGAGATGAAAGATGGAAAGTACAGATCAGATTTAAAAGCGAAAGAAAAGGAAGGGAGGAAAGAAGAAGCAAAATCATTATTCTGATTCGATCAACATGAATTGTCTGACTCTTCTTGAATTTACCCCTATTCCCAGGCCAAGAAAAGTTAAAAAAAAATGGAGGAATTGGAAACGTTTCAATTGCAGCACCAGTATTCCTTTGAGCATGTTTCGAGCATAATCTTTATTTTGCCCATAAATGAATTGCAACATTTTGCAAAGAAGGCTATAATCAATTTTACAAAGTCAATTGTTTAAGACACCCAGTGTCTGAAAAAAGAAGAAGAGGAAACTGATTTGGATAGAATAACAAAAGCCATTTCACTTAATATTTATGCCCAGAAAAGGTTTATTGTAAACAAGAGAAAATATATTCAATATTCAAAGTGCCAAATGATTTAAGACACAGTAGGAAAACTCTCATGGATCTGAATTTTAGCAATGTTTATTTTAAAACTGAGATGTACAAAATAAACAGTGTACTACACAGTGTACTACACAGTTCTACCTAAAGGTATGCATGTGTGTGTGTATATATTCACATTGTGTTATGCAGAATAATGTAATTATATTTTTAGAGAATATAACCTATTTTGTGTTGTCCTTGTTAATGTGTTAAATGGAATTATCTTTGTAATAGGAGTTCCAGGTGTTTGGAGGGAAACAGCTGGTTAAAAAGGGGGTTAGGAGTGGAAGAAAATCGATAGTGATATTTATGACAATTTACACATGGCATTTAACATGCCTGTGGTGGTTTTTTTTATTATTATTTTAAAGTATGCCATACAAAATTAGGAGTATAGTGTCTAGATCAAGGGAAATCATTGAGCACCTCCATTCTGCTTTAGTCAGACTTCACCTAAAATACTGTGTCCAACTCTGGTCACTACAATTTAAAAGATATTGACAAACTGGAACGTGTCCTGAGGAGAGCGACTAAAATGATCAAAGGTCTGGAAACCATGTTTGAAAAGGTATGTGGATCCTACTCTCCAAAGTCATAGTCCAATGCTCAAACAATGACACCATGCTTTTACAGTTACCATTAAGGCAGGGGAGATAATCAAGCATCTCTCTAAGGCTGCAGCTTCCATAGGTCTATCCTACAGTAGTCACTGATAAGAAATGATGGGAGCTGTCACCTAACAATATTAGGAAGATAACAGTTATCTCTCCTGTCTTGGGAGGAATGCTGCAACCTTTATTTACACCTTTCTAGTAACAATACATTTCAATACATCACCACCACCACCACCACCACCACCATCATCACCATCAACTTTATTTATATCCTGCCTTTCTCCATAGGGACTCAAAGTGGCTAACAAATACACATACCCAATAAAAATTTAATGCAACACAGATAAAATTAAATTTAAGTTAAATTTTAAAAAATCAAGTAAACTTTATGGATACGTATAAAAATGAAAATATACTTAAAATTCAAGAAATACAATTAAAATTATAACCAATGACCACCTGTCCCACCCACAACACCCTCAGCATCATGTCCCTCATCCTCCTCCAAATGCCTGATGGCAAAGAAATGTCTTAACCTGCTTGCAAAGGTCTCTCTTGGGAGGGAGTTCCAAAATATAGGAGCAATGCTACTTCATTATAGAGCAGTTGGCAGAATAACCTCTGTGCCTTCTATTGCACCACAGTACTTTTTGGCTTATAAAGGTCAGAACTCTTGGGTAAGTTTCACAAACATTACTTAGTTATTTGCCCTACATCTCCTAGCATTGTTTGGCTCTTGTGTACACAAATCCAGACTGCTTTTCTCTTGATCCTCCTCCACCTTCCCCATTCCTCATGGAAATCTTAGATCTTACCTGTCATTGTCCATCAGCAACGCCAGGCGCCCATAGTCCCAAGCTGCTTTACGAAGGCAGGAGAATATCACGAGAAGGATCTGCAATAGGAGTGAGTGAAAACAGGTGTTTTGTGGATCTTATTCCTAGTATTTATAGAAACACTCCAATATAAATCCCTTCTCCCCTTTCTTTGGATTGACATCTTAGCAGAAGCAATCTACTCTTCTTAACGTAGCAATCACCAAGCTAGCTGCATAACAGGATATCTTCCTTTATACTCATTTTCTCACCATGCTAAATGGCAATACTCCATATTACCTCTTTAGGTACATCTGTTCAAATACAAAGGTTGGAAAATTTAAATTTCTGGATCCCAACTCTCAAATTCCTCTTATTACATGACTATTATGATGGCTGGGGATTCTGGGAGTTATAGTCTAAAAAGTAACTGTTTCAATTCTCTCCAAAACCTCTGTTTGTGGAAGGGATAATATAAATGTGGGATTGAAAAATAAACAGGCAGGTGGTAGGAATGCTTTATGTGTCATGACCCTGTCAGATAGTGGCAGAGACTAATTCAAGCTGTAGAAAAGGCAAAAATTGCATGGCTCTTGAGATGGGGGAAACGAGGAAAAGACAAAGAAATTCATTAGAGCTTAAGTATTTTTCAGGCACCAATTTCCCCTACAAACTTTTCTCCCACCCACTGTTAGGTAAATTCGTCATAGAACTGCGGATGTTGCATAATGAATGCCGTCACTTACCACCCAGACAATGAGGTTGAGGATAAGAACGGTGGGGATGCCACCAAATGGCAACCCTTGGAGGACAGTGCTATGGCCATGGGCGCTAAAGCAGTGCTGTTCTGTTTCATTGACTGGGCTATTTTTAAATCCTAGGATGCTCAGGAGGAGGAGAGTCCCATCTCCTGATGAAGATTCGTCCGTGAATGAGTTGTCCATCTGTGAAGCTGATGGGTCCCCTGGAAAGTTTTAGCTCAAAAAATACCTGGGTGGAGGAGAGCATGACAACAGAAGAATAAGATAAGAGAAGATTAAGTACAATCTACCCATGGAGACATTAACATCTGAATGGCCAACTCTGTCCAAATCAGCCTGCTCTCTAAATTATTTCATCACCACAAATAAGAGGGCAGATTATTGATTTGTGTCCCATTGTTGCATCCCAGAGCAAGAACAACTCTGTCCTTAAACACCACACCAGTATAGTAAACGCAGCAAGGAGTTTATTGAAGGATATATGAAAGCAAAGCAATAAAAATGATAGAAACAGTATAGTCCAAAACAGTATTTTTCAAAGGTAACAAATAGTCCATGAACTTCAAGGTACAAAGGTAAAAACACAAGATCCAAGGACGAAAAATCCAAAAGAACAAGACAGCATAGAGATCCAGTACCCAGAACAGGAACCTGGCAAAACTTGAAACATAAAGCTAGAAATCCACTTGGAAACAAAATGATCATAAAAATTCAATGTTGACCAGACTGAGCTAAAATCCTTTCCCTGTCTCATATAAAGCCTTTCCTGTTTCATGAAATGAAAGGAAAACATTCTGTTTGCCTTTACAATCCGATAAGAATTTCTTATTCCTCTTTTCCAGCAGACAGGCTGACCTCCGGGGAGCTTGAGAACTTTCCCTTAGTTTACAAAAGTCTTGTCTTCTATCTTCAATCTCATCAACTTCTGTAACTGACAAATCATCCTCAGAAGACAGTTTCTCAGAGAAAGGTTGCCACGGGCCCCTTTCAGGAAATTGGCCTTGAAAATCTACAGGAGAAGCACTCTGTTCATGAGAAACCTCAGGCCTCTCAACAAGGCCAGAACCAGGCCTTTCACTTGACAACTCAGGCCCAGGAAAACCGTCATCCCCATTGACACCAGACACAGGCCCAGGAAAACTATCATTCCCATTGATATTGGTCATAATCACAGGCTGAATTACAACACCCATCTTGGTAATGTCTATGTCCATGTCTGGCAAGGATTAAGGAGTGGCTCTTCTTGGTATCAAGCTCTCATAGTTTTGAAATCTGTTGTGGAAGAAAATCCATAGATGGCATTTCATTAAGTAGTTTTACAACTTTTTAGGAGGTTTCTGAAACAGAACTTTGTTTTAGTGGTTTCATCATTTTGGAATCTAAAATGGGGATGAGATTCTGAAAAATAATCTTGTCCCCATTTTGAACTTAATTTAGCTGTAGTTTTAATTCCATTTGTATTAATCTCATGCTTCCCAGTCATTTTCTTCCCTTTCCCTTATCCCACTAATAACAATGGAATCTTAGTCATATTGTAAATCATACTGAATTCTTAGAAAAGGCAGGACAATCAAGATGCACATCTATGTTAGTTTAAGGCTGCACAAAGAGTTGAAAGCTGTAGAACTAAAAGGAGAAAGACATTTGGCTTGCCAAAGAAGTAATTCAATTATAAATACAGAGAACAGTCCCTATCTTTTAACTATTCAATAAAATCTCAATGAATACACAGTGACGTCTGAAGAGAAAAAAAATATATAACAGTACAAATTCTTCCTTCATTACCTGGCCCATTGGAAGGTGATACAGGCCTTAACATGCCTTAACATGCTTTCACTCTAAATTGAATGCTACCATAGAATTAGAAACCTTTTGGATATCCCTTTTAAAGAGGTCAGCAGAAGGTGCATATGAAACATATGGTAATTGAATTTCATATTTAGATTTGAGCCCCTTCTCCACGATATCTCATTGAAGTATGTATATGCAAATACAAATATTCCAAAATCCAAAAATAAAATAAAATAAAATCCAAACTACCTCTGTTCCTAAATTTTTGAGATAAGGGATGCTCAACTGGGATGATCTTCCAAAAAGCACCTTCCAGTACCCTTTTCATTCATACCTGAGAAGTGTCATTCCCTGATTTAGACTCAGTTGCAGACACCAGGATCAACCACTGCCATTTCAGTGCTGCCAGTGTGAGTCTCTGGGGAGGAAAAGGGAAAATCAGTTAAAGGAAGTAAATGAGCCGTGCAGTTCATTGGTGTTTTCCACTCTAATCCTTTGCAAGAATCCAGCGAAACTTGTCCTGAGCCACCTCACAGTTCCTTGCAAAACAAACATTTGTGGTAGGAGTGTTCTGCTTAGATCTAAAGATCTCGTGCTTCCTGCCAACCCATTACCACAATTGTATCATTCATTCAATGCATATACTGCCAAGAGCAAGCCAGAATTTATGTTCAATGCTGACCTTTGTTTCTGATGCCTTTTAGGCCAACCCAAACAGGACATGTTTATCAGTAAGAATTTAGACACATATGTCAGGTGGACATCCACTGATGGAAAGCTCTATCAACTGAACCTGGAGGGAACACTTCCTTGCCTCATAGATGAGATTGATTTATACACAAGTATATAGAAAATGATCAGTACCACATCGTTTTAGAATGACTTATTTTTCCTTCAGAGCTAGGTCATGACTTCTGAGAGCCTTGGTCACTCCTAAGAAAGTTCAGATCAGTGGTTCTCAACCTTTCTAATGCTGCAACTCCTTAATACAGTTCCTCATGTTGTGGTGACCCCCATCCATAACATTATTTTTATTGCTACTTCACAACTGTAATTTTGCTACTGTTATGTAAATATCTGGGATGCAGGCTGTATTTTCATTCACTGGACCAAATTTGGCACAAATACCTGATATGCCCAAATTTGAATACTGGTGGCGTTGGGGGCATTGATTTTGTCATTTGGGAGTTGTAGTTGCTGGGATTTATAGTTAACTTGGAATGGAATTGAACCAAACCTGGAACACAGAACTCGCACAACCAACAGAAAATACTGGAAGGGTTTGGTGGGCATTGACCTTGAGTTTTGGAGTTGTAGTTCACTTACATCTAGAGAGCACTGTGGACTCAAACAATGATAGATCTGGATCAAACTTGGCATGAATACCCAATAGGCCAAAATGTGAACACTGGTGGAGTTTGGGGAAAATAGACCTAGACATTTGGGAGTTGTAATTGCTGGGATTTATAGTTTACCTACAATCAAAGAACATTCTAAATCCCACCAATGATAAAATTGGGCCAAACTTCCCACACAGAAACCCCACGACCAACAGAAAATGCTGTATTTTCTGATGGTCTTTGGCAACCTCCCTAACACCCCCTTGAGACCCCACAGGGGTCCCGACCCCCAGGTTGAGAAATGCTGGTCTAGATGGCCATGGTTACCACGATAAAGCACTGGCTTTCCATATGCAAGGCTCCTGGCTTCTATAGAAAAGACCCAGGAAGAATGTGAGTAGGTATCCCAAACAGTTGCTGCCAGGAAGTATTGTAGTATAGGACTGCTAAAATATGTTATTGGATCGCACTTCCTATCAAGCCATAGCAAATGGTTTCAGGCTAATACCACCTAACTGCAGACAATATTTATTATTAAACACTTCGAACCTCCTGCCCCTTATCACAGGATATCTGGGTAGTGTACAATGTAAACCATTTAAAACATGTCTATATGAAAGACTTAAATAATTTGAATGAAATAATAATGTATCAAACATAGCAACAGTTAAAACCCATTTAAAAGCAAGATTTACAACCCCTTAAAATGGCAACATTATAAAAATATGAGTCTATGTATCTTCAAGTTGCCTGACAACTTATGGTGAACTCATGAATTTAATAGGGAAGGAAAGTTCAGAGCTGGTTTTATTAGTTCCTTCCTCTGAAATATAACCTATACAATATCTGGTATTTGTTGGTTCCCATCCAAGTAATAATTAGGGCTGACCATGCTTAACTACCAAAATCAGAGGGGTTTTGCTACCTTTGGGGCAGGCATGGGCAAACTTTGTCCTTCCATGTGTTTTGGACTGCAACACCCACAATTCCTAACAGCTGGTAGGAGTAGCAGTCCAAAATACCTGGAGGGCTGAACTTTGCCCATGCCTGATTTAGGGTATTTATGCCTTTTTTATTATATATGTATACCTGAAATAAATGAGCCATTGAAATCTTTAATTAAAAAAATCATGTCCTAATTTGGTGTTGGAACAAAACCAGTATTGATGCAACTGGGCTCTCTAAAGGGAGGGTGTTCCACAAAGGTGCCATAGGTGCCAAAAGCCCCTATCCATGCTCCTCCACTCCACACAGCCCCCACTTTGCAGGCAGGCATATGTAGGGAGAAGTGGTCCTTCAAATATCAAGGTCCCAAGTCACTTAGGTCTTTAAGCAGATGCACCTTGACATGAGCAATATGAAACCAGATGGACCAACGGTCTGTCTAGTAAAAGATACATTTTGATTTTTTTCTCCTGTGGAAGCAGAGAGATGCACAGCTGCTGCCTATCAGGGAGGGCAGGATGGCTGCCCAGCAGGACTATGCTAGAACCTGCTTATTGTCTGAGAGAGACAGAGAGAAGCATCTCCTTGCTGCCTCGGCCTGATTTCTCTCACCTCCCACCCTTGTGTAAACAGCAGGGAAGTTGCCATCTGGCATTGCCCATCCCTAATCATTCACCTCCCCTTTGTTAATAAGGAGAGCAACTCTCTGGCAGAAAGGGGAGGCCTCCAGAGTGACTCTCAGTAAATAAATAGAGATGTTCCTAGCAACCTGCTAGTTTTTCTGGGAATTTGTTCCTGAGAACAGCTTTCTCGGGATCATCACTGAGAGCTGTTTCCAAAGGCTATGTTTTAAAAAGCAACTGTTTGTTAAATGCAAAGTGGCATATGAAGGAAATGAAAAGAAAAAGACAAATAAATGGGCCCTAGACTAAATCAACTCTCCAAGAAGCCAAGATGGCTAAACCGAGCCAGTTGTGTAGCGACGAATGAAGAAGACAGGCAGTCCAGGAGGGTGAAGGTGATCTCGAAGTTTATTGACTAGCCAAGCTGTTTATATAACCTCCTTGTGTTCTTTGCAAAGCTTGCATAGTAACAGTGAGTTGGATAACGCAATTGCAGAGTAATCGGCTAGAGGTGAGCTCATCATAGGTGAGGTAGCCTACTGTACCAGTCCCAGGTCATGATGCCCTGTATACTTTGCCAAAATGGTGTGAAGCATAAGTGTCAGGGGTCTGGAATTTCTCATGCGCGTCCAGACTAGAATGGTTTGCCAGTAAAAGCCCAGAGGCGCATTGTCACTTCAATGGGACATAATAATGTCATCACTCCTTCATCTCCCCTTTTTTGTTTTTTTAACAATTTGTATGTATAAAGGACATCATGTCTAGGAGGGGCTTGTAGGGGCCGTGGCTGGTAAAGATTGCCAGGGCATGGGACGTATTTGAGCAGCAGCAGCATATGCTGCAATTCCAGTGAAGTACATACAGTAAAGCATCAGTAAACGTTTTATGATTAGCCGCAGGAAGCACCAGTTCATTTATCAATTAGCGATATCACTTGGGCG